AGAGAGAGAGAGAGAGAGAGAGAGAGAGAGAAGAGAGAGAGAGAGAGAGAGAGAGAGAGAGAGAGAGAGAGAGAGAGGAAGAGAGAGAGAGAGAGAGGAGAGAGAGGAGAGATAAGAAGGAGAGAGAGAGGAGAGAGAGAGAGAGGAAGAGAGAGAGAGAGAGAAGAGAGATAGAGGAGAGATAGAGAGAGAGAGAGAGAGGAGATGAGGATAGAGAAGAGAGAGAGAGAGAAAAGAGGAGGGAAGAGAGATGGTACAATGGTACATCGTGGCATGCAATCAACATCTGCGACAATAAAATTACCGGATGAACCATAGACAGGGCAATTGAACAGTTCCTGTCGGTTACGGTACACTTCCCAGGTGGCGTGATGAGCAACCATTGAAAGTTTGCGGAAAGGTTGCGCAGCACCTTTGTGGATGCCGCTCAATGTAACAAGCATGTGCCGAAGTCATTTTAACCTGAAAACGACGCTGAAGTCAGTGCTGGATTGCTGTTTTTCCCAGGGGGGGGGGGGGGGAACAGATGGCACAATACACATTTTATACGGCTGGAGTGTAAACTGGAGTATTCAGGGATTAAGAACTTCTGAAAACCATAAAATTTTGGGTACAACAATTCAAATTTTGTGTACATTCATGCGCAACATCTGACGTAACAAGGCAATCACCAAATCACGGCCTTGTAACATCACAATAAGTGTTGTACCTTCAAACAAATGATTGAAGGCCTCTTTTTTAACGAGAAAATACGTCACGCCAGTTTCCAACGATGACACCGATTATTGCAGATGTAGCGTAGATACGCTTATATGCGATGGCCTGTATGTGATGACTTGTGCTCTTTTATGTCAACTGCCCCGGCCCAGCGTCCCCCCGTTCGTCCGCAGTGAGCGCTGCTGGCCTGCTCGTGCCCAAGAACTGGGCCTGCGGCAGCCGCTGACCCCACCAGCGACACCCTTCATCCTGCGGCCCGCCTGCCGCAGAAACCCTGGCATCCCGCGGCCCGCCCGCCGTAGGACCCTGGCACCCTGCGGCCCGCCCGCCGCAGAAACCCTGGCATCCTGCGGCCCGCCCGCCGTAGGACCTTGGCATCCTGCGGCCCGCCTGCCGTAGGACCCTGGCACCCTGCGGCCCGCCTGCCGCAGAAACCCTGGCATCCTGCGGCCTGCCCGCCGTAGGACCTTGACATCCTGCGGCCCGCCTGCCGCAGAAACCCTGGCATCCTGCGGCCCGCCCGCCGTAGGACCTTGGCATCCTGCGGCCCGCCTGCCGTAGGACCCTGGCACCCTGCGGCCCGCCTGTCGTAGGACCCTGGCATCCTGCGGCCCGCCTGCCGTAGGACCCTGGCACCCCGCGGCCCGCCTGCCGTAGGACCCCGGCACCCTGCGGCCCGCCTGTCGTGGGACCCTGGCATCCTGCGGCCCGCCCGCCGCAGGAGCTTGGCATCCCGCGGCCCGCCTGCCATAGGACCCTGGCACCCTGCGGCCCGCCTGCCGTAGGACCCTGGCACCCTGCGGCCCGCCTGCCGCAGGACTTTGGCATCCCGCGCGCCCCTTCTCCATGGGTGCCGGAGATCCGCGTAACCCCAGAAGGCCACCAGGCTTCGAACTGAACTATTTTTACATCGCGGAGAGTCTAAAGGCCACGCACAGACCTCAAGCCATTGTGTGACTAGGTCTGAACCGACCCGACAAACCTGCCGTATAATATAGCATACCTTTATCAACAGAGTTCTGCCACATCGGCCACATCGTCAACCATGGCTTTATTGGAAACACGCTGAAAGGTTCTTTTGGATCTACTGTCCACGCCAAAATGCAAGCAGCTGCAGGTCCCGGATCATTTTCACCCAATATGCCCGATGAGTCCCATATCTCGGACGTTAATATTGCGCTTTTTGACTCATTTCACCCAATGGCGAGGTGATGTGCCCAGCAAAAAATAGTTTTGCCTCTTAGTTTTGAATGTATGACAATACCTACGAGAGGTCGGTATGTTGTAACGGTAGCCGCGCTACGTCCGTCATGTAAGCCATAGCGCTATGGCGTCGTGAGTCGCAGAAGTCTGACATTATCTACATAACTTTATTACTCTCCACCTCACGCAACTTGAAAAGCTTTACGAAATTATAATTGTTGCTTCATTTCACAAAAAAGACGGGGAAGATTTCGTGGTACAGCCGACTCCATTCATTATTCCAAATTAATGCGTTTCCATTCCGGTATACTCTCCTCAGCTTCTGTGAAAATAAAACATTGGGCACCACAACCCGCCAGCATGGTTGGCTGGCTGGTTATTTGTGTCTCCAAGGGCTTCTACCAGCCAGTATGAAATGCGCCAGGAAACTTAACGGGTAAGACCGCCGCCAACTTCAGGCAAATCTAAGCTCAGTCGACTGTGAATGTCCTCTGCCTGAACATGGCCGGAGAACGTCACCAACCGATCTTGGAGTGGATGAGCCAGACACCTCCAGTGAGCGCCACTCCAAACAGGAAGGCGCACGCGCCAATGGCGACCACCATCTCGTGCGACACGCCCACTTGCAGGACAGGACGGCGCCGGCCCGGCCCGCTGGACAGCTCGTCTGTTGAACAGCGGACATGCGTCAGAAGCCAGGCCAGACACCAGTAGCTGCCTAGTGCCTGGCTCACTGCTGGACGGCAGCGGACAGGCGTCAGAAGCCAGGCCAGACACCAGCAGCTGGCTAGTGCCTGGCTCACCGCTGGACGACAGCTGGCGCGCTATTGGCGACAAAGCTCCAGACAGCTTACAGCCATCAGCACAAGGGCACGACTTTGGCGAATGGAGAATGATTACAACAAAGCTGCCCGCCGTAGTCCACTCAAGCTTTCATACTTGGTGAAAAACCGCAGAGCATGACGTTACGAGTCAGTACAAATGTGGCCTCCACCCGAGCTGGCGGTTATCGTGATAACAGACCGGGCAGACGACGGCCGCCGTCCGCCGCGACTGACCGGCGAACGTCGAGAGCAGCGGGCCGCGCGTGATGACCTGCAGTCCGGAGGCGAGCCGGACGTCAGCGTCAGCCGGCCCGTCGGCGCACAGTGGTCCGGACGCGTCCGCACACTGCGCCAATGCAGAGACGGACCGAGTGAGTGGCCGAGTCACTCCACATACCGTGCCCAGATGGACAACGTTTTGCAACATGACGACATGCGGACAATGACCTGCCATTCCATGCTTTACATGAATAATGCATTATCACGATATGTGGTAACGAAGGCCGATCAGGACACTGGCACTTGCTCATGTGTTCATGTTCAAACCAATCAAACACTGGTCAAGAAAAGGGAACTGAACGCCCTTGTCACTTATATAAAAGCCTGCCATGATTATACGTCACGTGGTAAACTAGAATGTGATCGTGCGAGGCTTTGCTAAGAGCCGCCGGGATGGCAGCACGAACTACACTGACCTGCGCAATATGGTGTCGGGCCGGGGAGTCAGCGGCGGCGCACACCCCGACGCTACAGTGCACGTAGTACCGCCCCAGCCGGGCCAGCTCTGGCGTCACCTGTCGGTCCAGCGAGACACTCGGACGCCGGCCACCGGGACACCGGCGTCTCTGACGTCACACGACGCCGCTTCGGACAGACGATCGTCGTGCATTCCACACAGGTCGGTGATGGCATGTGACCGCTGTGCCTGTCAGCCGGGCGGGGCGACGCGGGCCGACTGATACTCTCCGCCCCGTCAAGAGCTGCGCGCCCGGACACAGGACGCATCGCCCACCACGCCACTGCAATCCTCCGACGCAGCCGATCCCGCACGACAGGTCGGTGACCGCGGACCGGACCGGACCGGATCAACGGACGCCGGCCGGACCGGACCACCCCGGCCCGGCCCGGCCCTGGCCACGGCCAGCGAGCGGTGGCGACCGGCAGAGGCAGCGCTGCGCCGGTGCAGGGCCGACCGGCTCTCACCTGGAAGCTGAACTGGGCGGCGCCGGTTGGGCCAGGCCCGGGCAGCGAGACCGTGTGTATCGCCGGACAACCGGCCGTCAGCAGGGTCAGCGGGGCCGGGGTGGCCGCGCCGCTCGCCCAGCACCGCTCCACCACCGGCTGCAGGTAGGCGGCTGCAGGGGAGATAGCGCGCCTCAGACCGACAGTCGGACGGCACTGCGCCGCCCGCCGGACGGCCGCACCGGACGGCGCTGCACCCGCCGGCCGCATCAGGCGGCGTCCCTTACAATGCGACACGCACGCGGCTACACCACGCTACCGTTTCAACACGTCTCAGGACGCTCGAGGAAAGCTTCGTGACAGTAGTGAATGAACAAACCAAAACTGATCAGGATTCTAAACGACGAGCCCCTTCAGCATCCAACACATCCCCATTCGAAACATTTGAAACTTACCCATGTACACCGTAAATCGCACAAATATGCTGTGCGAAATAGGTACAAGCGTGTTGGGCTTGATGGCGTTGCTGAAGTGATCGTCAGTCGAGAGCTCGAGGCTGTAGACCGACGCCTCCACTTTGCTGATGTCCAATGTGGCGTCCTGAAAACGAACAGTCGCAGGACATGTCATTACTTCGCAGGGATTGTGTGATGTCACATATGCGTTAGGTCTTGCAGCGTTCAGAACGCTTCACTTCTCCACCTGTTGGATCGCGCACCCCAGCGGCGAGTGGTATAACGCCTTGCTGACGTCACAGTGCACTGCAGCGATGTCAGACGGAGCACGGTCAGGGACCTGCCCGCCCACCTGGGATGTGACCGGCGCATACCTGGCATTCCGGACGGCATGACTGCCCGCATTTTCCAGGACATTGCCGGTGCATCCATGAGTCTGGATGCGCCCATGAGTCTGGATGCGTCATCCGCGCCCGGGTGCAGCTGCCACTCAGGGATGCGGTACCATGAGTCTGGACCCGAGCCCGGGTGTACCTGCCACTCAGGGATGCGGTACCATGAGTCTGGACCCGGCCCCGGGTGCACCTGCCACTCAGGGATGCGATACCATGAGTCCGGACCCGATCCCGGGTGCACCTGCCACTCAGGGATGCGGTACCATGAGTCCGGACCCGACCCCGGGTGCACCTGCCACTTAGGAATGCGGTACCATGAGTCCGGACCCGACCCCGGGTGCACCTGCCACTCAGGGATGCGGTACCATGAGTCTGGACCCGACCCCGGGTGCACCTGCCACTCAGGGATGCGGTACCATGAGTCCGGACCCGACCCCGGGTGCACCTGCCACTCAGGGATGCGGTACCATGAGTCTGGACCCGACCCCGGGTGCACCTGCCACTCAGGGATGCGGTACCATGAGTCCGGACCCGATCCCGGGTGCACCTGCCACTCAGGGATGCGGTACCATGAGTCTGGACCCGAGCCCGGGTGCAGCTGCCACTCAGGGATGCGGTACCATGAGTCTGGACCCGAGCCCGGGTGCACCTGCCACTCAGGGATGCGGTACCATGAGTCTGGACCCGAACCCGGGTGCAGCTGCCACTCAGGGATACGGTATGCTAGGCTGAAATGCGGCCCGCGATTCCACTCTCCTCATATGAGATTAATCGAGTCCGACCTGGAGAACAAAACAAAGCTCTCACAGAGGGTGACCTTTAAAATGGAAACTGATCCGTTCGAAGGGTAATAGTAGATGCAGCATTTCGCCGATGAGGACCAGCTAATGAAATACCCCCAGACCCACGGCGTTAGCAGTTCGTCTCGCTGACCGCCTCTCTCCCTCTCCTCGGGTAAGGCTGATGGCTCTGAAGACGGCCGCAGGTGATTCCCGAAAGGTGCCTGGGCGAGGGGGTGTCACATTTGGGTTGCCAACTCACAAGTATGAAACAATTGGTCGACGACTTTTCCAGACATGGTTTTTGAGTGCCATGAATTATGGCCATCCGAGGCTCCGGCAATAGCGCGGGGGCTTCCGCAGATGAGAAAACATAAAACAACCCTAGACTGATGTGCAGGCCCCTGAGGCTGAACGATCGATGAATCGTATCGAGTGCCTCAGTACGTTAACTTAAAAGGGTCCCCACAACAGCGTGAGGCCCTTCGAGCAAATATGAAGAACCTAACACCAACGTGCAGGGCCCGATCGAACGAGAGCGCCCCGATCGGGCAATGTACAGCCCCCTCGCCCCACGACATTGCAGAGCCCCCGAGAGCACAATGAGCCCTGGCACGCCTCCTCCTCCCAAGAGTCCCCTAATTAGTCATGTTACTTTGTCTGTGCATGTCTGCCCACCCCACATATTTGCTTTGGACCCTTTCTGGTCACCTGAGACCCACAGACGTCCAATCTATTGCGCTTTGTGTGCGAGCCTACGTTCCTTTGGAGGGTCATGCGCCACTCCGGAGTACGGGGAAGCAGACATGGCCCCGTGCCCCCCCCCCCCCCATAGATTAGTCACCCCCTCCCCCTGTCCATGGGTCAGTCACTCTCCCCCCCCCCCCCTCCTGGCTATGGATCAGTCACTCTCCCCTCCCCATGGCTATGGATCAGTCACTTTCCCCTTTCCATGGCCAAGGATCAGTCACCCTCCCCCTCCCCCTGGCTATGGATCAGTCATCCTCTCCTCCCCCTGGCTAGGGATCAATCACTACCGAACGGTTTCCAAGAGACTACTGGCTATATTATTGGCAACCGTTACCCGCCGTCACCTCACTCGTGCTACACCAAACAGGTGCATTATTGATAGCATCTGAAAAAGCAATAAGACGGCATTAAAGGTCTCTCAGTAGCATGCCTGTGCCGACTTCTGTCTTATATATCTGCGAAGTATCTATTTGGAAATAGTTATCAAACTGTTACAACTACGCATTACTGGTCATGTACAGACCACAGGTTACCAGCACTTGTCTGGGATTGGGCCACCGTTGTATTACATTTCTGCTTTCCTTGTGTGGTGGCCTTTTTACCTTTGTTTCTTCTTGTGAAGCGAGAGCCGCAAATTACACTCATACTTCCCTATGTATGTGTAACCAAATAGCTACTGGTGCCGAGGTGGATCAGGATGGCCACTAATTCATTGCTGGTCACCCGTTCATCGGGGGCGGCTAGGCAGGAAAAAAGACGACGCATTAACATCACTTATCAAAAGACCGGCTAGTCTCACCAATAGTTTGATACCCACGGGACAGTGTCAGCCTTCATATGATATTCCCTTGTCCCCAGTCTCTCTCCCATGCTCATCTGTCTCCAGCCCTCATCTGGTGCTCACAGGTCCCAAGCCCTCATCTGGTGTTCATTCGCCTCCAGTCCTCATCTGGTGCTTACCTGTCTCCAGCCCCAAGCTAGTGCTCACCTGTCTCAAGTCCTGCTCTCATGTTCACCTGTCTCCAGCTTTCATCTGATATTCCCCTGTCTCCAGCCACCAGCTGGTGCTCACCTGTCTCCAGCCCTCATCTGGTGCTCACGTGTCCCAAGCCCCATCTGATGCTCAGCCGTCTCCAGTCCTCAGCTAGTGCTTACCTGTCTCTAGCCCTCCTCTCATGGTTGCCTGTCTCCAATCCTGAGCTGGCGCTCACATGTATCCAGCCCTTATCCGGTGATTGCCTGTTTCCAGCCCTCATCTGATATTCCGCTATCTGCAGCGTTTATCTAGTGTTCACCTGTCTCTGGCTGCCGGGCTCGGCCTCGTGCTCGGGCGCGGCACAGCTGACGGGCACCGAGCCGCCGCCGGGCCGCTCCCACCGAGCCGCCGCCGTGCCCACCGTGTCCTCCGTCATCCCGAAGCCCGAGCCCTCGAAGTCCTCGTCATCAGTGGGGACCTCCGCCGTCACAAAGTGCACCTGAAGCGCGTCACAAATGGCTTAAGCAACGCGTCCGCTTGCGTGACTGCTTACACAGCATAAATGGCAGCCACATGGTGAGCTGCTGAACGGCTTCACCGCGTTGGTTTCGTGTTCTGGGAAGCTTGAGCCAAAGTTCTAGCTTCCTTGCTTTATTGCTGAGGCCCCGTTGACTGGCATATAAGCCCCATGCCATGATTTTTTACAGAAGGGACATACCCGAGCAGGTACGCACAAAACCACGTCATTCACTCCCCGCCAAACAAGCCTGTGGTGGCCACCGCAGCGCCAGACCTTAATGAGCCAGCTTCAGACGCGTCTCTCCCATGCCACTGTATCGGCGCTCTCGCTATGCAGCCGATGCCAGTTACCATGACTAACATCCTATCCGTATATGAACAGCAGAATAACGCAGGAAAGAGATTTTGGAGCCATATCCCCGTGGAGGTAGCGCTGGCCCTGAACCCAGAGATCCCAGTATTTTTCCGTTTTAAGATGCCAGTAGGGCTCCCAAAACACAAACAGGCTCTTGAGGCATCAAAGAAAGGTCCAGAACTCCTCGAAAACAAAGCAAGGCCCCATAGCCACGGGGGCCCCTCGACTGAACGGGCTCCTTATGACCCGGTTCGACCGACCCGCTCCTGAGCGCGACGCTGACCGCGTCACTGTAAACGAATACCTCAGCATGCAACTACAGGATGTTCCAGTCGAAATATAAATTCAAAAAGGCCGTGATGTGCGTAACAAAACAGCATTTAGATGTTCCTTTATGCCACAAGGATCCAAACATTTGAACATTATCATTTTTATTATCAATGCTCGTTTGCTTGGCAAAACTCCACCACGGCCCCTGAAGACGAACGCCCTTTCCAAAATTACAGAATGATCCACACTTGAGGCGTCTCGCCAGTGGCGTGTACAGCCGCTGATTGGCACGGGGAGGGGGTCTACATCTCCAGTTCCGGGGAGGGGGTCTCCATCTCCAGTTCCGGGGAGGAGCCCTCCACCTCCAGTTCAGGGGAGGTCTGCGTCTCCAGTTCCGGGGAGGAGGCCTGCGTCTCCAGTTGTTCCGGGGAGGAGGCCTGCGGCCCCAGTTTCGGGGAGGAGGCCTGCGGCCCCAGTTCCGGGGAGGAGGCCTGTGGCTCCAGTTCCGGGGAGGAGGCCTGTGGCTCTAGTTCCCAGCCCACACTGATTGTGAAAGACCCCAATCTAAACGTAGGACCATTTTCCACAACACCGAATACTTCAAGCGACTGCTTAATAAACTGATAAAAATACTTGCTAGTGATTGGCCAATTTAAGTACCATTACTTACACTTTTACAATTGACATTTCTAGTAAGAACGCTGTGGTTGGAGTCAGGCTGTGACTCAAAATACGCAGAGACTCGAATTAACTAAAATGCAGAGACTCTAACCATCCACATCGCTAAAAAAGATTAGATGCATATTAACAACGCCCAACACAACGCAGACTGGTCGGGGCAGTGTGCCTTTCGCTTACAGCACGGGTTGCTGGTTCAAATTGCTACACCTCGGCGTCAAGAGACAACAGAAAGCCACGCTGATCAGGCAAAGGTACAAACAGAATCCACACGATGCAGTACAACACAAAGCTGGCATGACGCGTCACATCACCTGATCTGCCCTCGTCCCCGACAGTGGTCGGGAACTGACCCAACCCCACCCGCCACGTGCCTGGGATTGTGCCAGGAGCGTACCGTGTTGGCGTAGACGCGGCGGCGGCGGCCGAGACGCCGCTGCGTGCCGCAGCCGGTCAGCGGCCGGCTGACCACCAGGTGCGAGCCGTTGCGGGTCGAGCGGCAGCTCCAGTCAGCTAGGTGCAGGGCCGACACGGAGACGGCGTCGGCGGCCGCCGCCGGCACGGCCACCACCAGCTGGCCGGCCGAACAGCTCACCGAGATGGCCCGCCGCAGGGCACCAGACGCCGACACTGCACGCGCAGGGCAGAGCCGGCCCGTGTCACCGCTGGCCGTACAGGTGCGAGCAGGCCGCACAGGACCAGGGGAGGTGCGACGGCAGGAGTGGGAGAGTTTGACCACAGACCGGCTTCAGCCGATCAAGACTATGGTGTACTGATCAATGTATGCCACAAATCTGCCATGATTATCCAAATGCTAGACGTCGCGCGGTGGTTAGCTGGGTTTCCGTTCCCTCTTCAAAACCATTCACACCATACACGCAATCTTCCAGCGTTACGGCACATGCACACTGGTTTGGCCGGCAGAGCCAGTCCCTTACCTGCGCCGTCGGCCGTCTGTTGCTGGGTCGGAAAAAGCTCTGGTGGCTGATGCTGTCTCGAACCCCAAGCGTCACTGGCCGGCTGCACCTCGCTCACTGCTTCATCTGAACCCAACGTATGACCAATCGGACCTCAAGTACCACCGGCGGAGTCACACGGAGCCCAACACAGGGCTAAGCGGACCCAGTACCACCGGCGCAGTCACACAAAGCCACTGGACCCCAGTACCACCGGCGGAGTCACACGGGGCCATCAGACTCCAAGTACCACCGGCGTGGTCACACGGAGCCCAACACAGGGCTAAGCGGACCCAGTACCACCGGCGCAGTCACACAGAGCCACTGGACCCCAGTACCACCGGCGGTGTCACACGGGGCCATCAGACTCCAAGTACCACCGGCGTGGTCACACGGGGCCCAACACATGGCCAATCAGGCCCCAGTACCACCGGCGGAGTCACACGGGGCCCAAAGCACCGTCAATCAGTCTCCAGTACCATCTGCCGAGTCATCGTTAAACTTTTACACCATCAACTGGATTGAGTACACTTATTATATTGTACAATTATTATATTAGTATATATGAGCACACTTATTATGTTATATATTGAGTTGTTAAAAAGTTCAAATTGGACAAACTAACCTAAGCGACTTCTATTGTGCCAATGCATGCATTTTTAAAAGATAGCAGAACGTGGCCTAAACGAACCTCTCGCCACACATTTTCTGACACGGCTCTATGCTCCACCACAAAAAAATCGTTGCTGTAAATAGTTGACTCGGGGTTTAGAGCTTACAGTGTGACCGCCCAAAAGTTGGCAAGTTCTGTAACGCCGGAAGTTTAATTGCGGCGGCCGGCTCATCGGGCGCATATCCCCGACTATAGCAGCCAGACGGGCAGCCCATCGGGCGTAAACCTCCGACTATAGCAGCCAGACGGCCCGTCCACCGGGCGTAAACCTCCGACTATAGCAGCCAGACGGGCGGCCCATCGGGCGCATACCCCCGAGTGTAGCAGCCTGACGGGCGGCTCATCGGGCGCATAGCCCCGACTAGAGCAGCCAGACGGGCAGCTCATCGGGAGCATACCTTCGCCTGCAGCACCCAGACGGCCTCCCTTTGCGCCGGCCACCGAAACACGCCGGCCGTACGGACAAAACGACACGATACCGTCTCGTGTCTGCGGTTACTCCGCTCCCGGCCGGACACCCGCCGGTCAGCCGTCCCAGCAGCGACGCAGCTGGTCTCCGTGTGTGCGTCCAGTTTGGCGGTGGCAACAGTGTAAAAACTACCTGTTGCAGTGACGACTTATAGTTGGCTTATCCTCAGATTATATCACTCAGCCACTGGATTAATTCTGAGCAAGCCCCTAAGCAGCTTGCAAAATCCTGAAAAAACGCAGGGCTTTGCCTTCCAATCTGTGCAGGCTCACGCGTGTGCTCCGAATACAAGGCAGTCTCATCTCTCAAGAATTTGCCGTAACAAGGTCGTCTCGTTCTACGTTGGCGTTGTCACGAACTTATGAAATGCAGCATGACATGTCAAAATCAGCCAATCTACACTTATATGGGGTACCCCACATTTTTGTACTTTTCACTTGCTGTTGGATCAGAAGCGTGCGATTTGATCAGTAATAAATATCACTTTTCCAGAAATCCTTCTGAATAGCCCAGAAAATCGATGTGAACAAGCCGCTCCCGTGGAAGAAATACCGTTCAACTCTTTGCTCACCACTATGAAAGCAATCCATCTAATTTGCCTTGCTTTTCAACGTGTGTGTTCTGAATGTTTGCAATGCACTAATGTGTCACACTGTTTGTGTAATGCATGCTACGAAAGTTTGAACGTTCTGCTTAGACAAAAAGATGTGCGAACATAAAGTTACCATCATGTGAGTTCAACAAAACGTTCCACAATGGACTTTATTTCTCCCCTATGGTATTTACCACAGTGGGCCTTTTTCTTCTTTTTCGAGGCGCACTTCGGCTTCGGGACACGGAGCATCACATGGTCTACATTGACGCATTGGTTCAAACCTCAACCAATGCGTCTCTTGGCAACTGGCCCTTGCCGCACGTTGTGCCAATCACGAATGTCCGCTTGGACTGACGTCTTTCAATAACAGCTGACGGCGTCCCCCCTGCTCCCAACAGATTTTGCCGTCATAATGACGACGTTTGTCGCGACTTCATGGAAGAAGCGTAGTGCTGTTACAAAGCCTTGTCAGTGTAGTTTGGACTCAATAATCATCAAAATATATATTCTTATTATGCCTAGATGGTGCTGCAGTAGCAATACCAAGTGCTATTGTTAAACGTAATTGGTCCTGAGGCTTCGCTAGAGCATGTTTTTGAAATATGCCCCAAGGGTGGGACACTCCGTTTAAGTCCACATGAAATGCTCCCCAACCCCACCCCATCCTCCAGCCCTGACGCGGTAAGCGAGGGCATGGCAAAGAAAGATATGCGACCAAATCAAATCAGGCTCTCGAATGGAAGACACAACTCAAAAACGCCGGGTTGGCACTCAAGAGTCAGTGAAATAACAAGTACCAGTCGTATAAGTGCATTAGGGTGCTGAAGGTCATATCATTAGTAGATCAATTCTGCCAGCCCGTCAAGCCAGTCAGTTCTGTCAGCCAGCCATCCCAACCGTCAACAGTAAATTATTGGTGCATGCAACTCATGTGTTCCTCGTATCGTGTTCCTCGTACCATGACCGTCACGGCATCCACATCCTGTTTCTCACGCGATGTGCGTGTGCCGAGGCGGCTTAATGGTAATAACTACAATAGTTCGCTTCATTATCGACGTTTGTAGCTGATGCAAGTGCATGTGTTCACAAGCCTGGAAGACACCGGTGTGAAGGAAATTTCCTGCACCGAAAACCTAAGCACTGGCTGCTCGATGCACAGGCCAGCACTGCGCCCATCCCCGGGCCCGTGCGGCGGGGGCCGACCGGCCGTTGGCGTCGCAGGCCTGAACCCCGCTCGTGCCCGGGGCGCACACCACTGACCTGGGGCTGACCGGCCGTCGACGTCGCAGGCCTGAACCCCGCTCGTGCCCGGGGCGCGCGCCACTAACCTGGAGCTGGCGTCGCTGGCCTGACCTCGGCTAGTGCCCGAGGCGCGTGCCACTGACCTGGGGCTGGCGTCGCTGGCCTGACCTCCGCCCGTGCCCGGGGTGCGCGCCACTGACCTGGGGCTGGCGTCGCTGGCCTGACCCCCGCTCGTGCCCGGGGCGCGCGCCACTGACCTGGGGCTGGCGTTGCTGGCCTGACCCCCGCTCGTGCCCCGGGGCGCGCGCTACTGACCTGTGGCTGACGTCGCTGGCCTGACCTCGGCTCGTGCCCGGGGCGTGCGCCACTGACCTGGGGCGCCACCCAGTCGGAGGTCCAGCCGACTGATGGCTGGCGATCGGATGTACGCCACTGGTGGCCCGCTCGAGTAGCCCACGGCCAGGATGAGCAGCTCGCTGAACGACTCGGGCAGCTGAACTCGCTCCACCTCCAGAGATACGCTCGCCGCGAGAGCGCCACTCCCCACAGGGCTGTCTGCCTGAGAAACCGCATCATTTCGTCACGACCCACAACCAAGCAAGCAATACGTGTTCACCAAAGCCTAATGTGCGCACCCAACGAGCTCTCAAGTGGCTCAGGTATGGCAGTTGAGCATTCAGAGTGGCTAGGGTATGACGATCGTCACAATCGGCGCCTGGATACCGTACATCGCGCTCATTTTAATGGCAATGTTATACTTGGGAAATTTCTACATACTCCACACTGACCAAACACAGGCTAGTTCACGCACGGTCCAAGCTGACTAAATTCTGGAACACTCAATAACGGGTTAACGAGCCCATGAAATTGTTTTAACGTGCTCAAATAGCACACGTTATTACGAGATTAAATACGGCGACCAAGCCCCAAAATCACCATCAATTTAAGCAAGTGGCGGTACTAATGGTTCTGAAAACGGATGCCCCCAAGTAACCTGCCGACAAAGGATGACTTCAGCAGGAGGTTGCGATCTGACGCTCAGTCGACGAATTCGTCAGCTCTGAGGCTAGCAGAGGTCCTACCACTTCAACTTCCAGACAAATTAATGCTCCCGCGTGTCCGTGGATTCCGATAGAGGGCGTGCTTAGTATTTAGGTGCGTGTGTGTGGGGTGAGGAGAGGGGGGGGGGGGGGGTATCGGGAACGCATGCATGTCTTCGTAATGACGGAGGGCACAACACAAATTTGTTGGCCATGGTCAAAGGCCGTCCTCGTGCGCCGCTATTGTGTGAACAATTTTCTACGTGGCCCATAACAACATGGCATCTTTCAGTCCACCCATTGTTACGTGTGCCCCGCTATTTGGCAACTGTCGTTATCGATTCATACCCATTTTGAAGGTGCGATCAACATTCGTATGGGGTTTGAACCATCTACAAGATCATTCGGTGCTGGTCACGGCCCTACCCTTCTTAAGACGTAAATCCCTCTACCTTTTATCTAAACGCCCCGAAGATGTGCCGACTATTTTGTGGAGACTATTTCGAGGCCACCCAGGCATCCATGACGCCATAATTCCGTCATTCAGATCCTATCATTACGTTGGTCATGCAGCGATCAAGGCCAAGACAAATACAATGGTTCAGCCGTTCATATAAGGCGTTCGTGGGCACGACTTCCAGATAAAGCGGCACGGTGCGATGATGCAATCAAGAAATGACGAGCTATGACCCCCGAATAACGTCATTGAAATCCTGCCATTCCATAAGCCACAAGCCTGTCATTCTATAAGACATCAGGACCAAGAAACACATAATTGTCCAGCCGTTCATATCTTGTCCAGCCGTTCGTATCAGGCGCTCAGTAGTACGATTTTTAGGTATAGCGGCAGTCAATTGGCTCTCAATCAATGCTGCGCAAGGATGATGGCGTCTTCGGACATTGACGTATTGAGGAGCATATTTACTAAACAGAACAAATTGTATTGTATAGAGCGGTCTTTTTCCCCTTACAAGTATACAAACGGTTTTAAGTAGGCTTGTTCCATAATACCTAACGCTTGCTTCAATATTTTCAAATGTGAAACATGTCTTTCGTGCATGAAACGAAATGTTCACTTAAAACGATACCATGTATAATACAACATAATGTGTATACACACACACACACACACACACATATATATATATATATATATATATATATATATATATATATATATATATATAAAACATAACAAAACAAAATGTTTCTATTGGATGTAAAATGTTCTGAACAGGGACACGTCCATATTGTCATCTTCCCGCCCCCCTTGAATACACCACTGGGGGGGGGGGCTTGCTTGATCTTTACAATACATGACAAGCAGGAAAAAACATTCGGGGAGTTGTGGAATTTATTTCATATCATACTTTTATTGTGCCCAAATTTACCGAGCCCCTGCAACTTACCAGGACCAGCACATTACCAGTGAAGCCGTCAGCCGTCAGCTGCCACGTAACTGGCACGGCAGCCTTCAGAATCTGAAAAACATCCAAATAAAAAGTCAAGGCTAATCAGTTTCCTCACAGAACAGACATATAGCAAGGCATTTCCACAACTCAATCCTAAAAAAACCGGGAATAGTGGACACACAGCGGATCAGCGCTGTGAAAAACACGTGCGGCTGGGAGAGGCGGAGAATGCTTTTGTTATGCATACATATGTGTATATATACATATATATATATATATATATATATATATATATATATATATATATATATAGTGCGTGCGTGTGTTGTTTGGGAGCCCCGTCTTAAAACAATAACAGTCAGTCGCCTGGAAAGAGAAGTTGTGACGCCAATGTGATTTATCCCACGAAGCCTGCGATCTCCGTACGGACAGGAGAATTGATAACCTACATTTATGCACTATAAAATGTCATTTGTGGCCGTCATGTTGCTTTTTATCAAAAGGCCTTGTTTTGTGTTCTTGTGATAGATGGTGAGTCAACGGTGCTCTGTCGAGCTGGCGCATGGCACAATGACTTGGATGAGTTCCTGAATGATGTGTTCGTCCACTTGGCAAGGCGACAGAAAACAAATGATTGCAATAATAGAGTTAAATCACGTTTTATGCCGTTTTGTTGAAGCTTTGATTTCTTTGTTTCCCGTTCCACATGCTTTTTTATTTCGTCATCAATGTCTGCATTGGAAAACCCGTTGTTGACCCTAGTATGTTTGAGTCCAACAAATTCTGCATGTAGCAGTGGCCATACGGAACAGTTTCTTTGATAGCTCCCCTTATGGCAGCATATGGTCATCTGCCACTAATCAACATTGACACTCTAGGAGTTCATTGAAAACACAACATCATCAAACACAACGCAACGAAGGACTGATGACATAAGGAGTCCTACTTATTTGCCAACATGTCCCTGCACTTAACAAGCAACTTAATTATTACGCTACACCAAGACTTTCGGGGTAGGTAGGAGTCCCCGACTTGTGGGGCCCGTTAAACATCTGTGAAGTGTGTGGAAGTGTACTACAGGGGTCTGCATACGCATTGAAACCTGTTTATCTGGGCGTGCTTAACTTATTTCACGGGAGACACTGTTCGTTATTTTCATTCGAATCATCCAATATGTATGTAGCGTTCTTTCGATCGGGTATGACACCAATGTCTGTTTGATAATGGTTTAAGGATTAAACCAGAACGTGGCGCTTTAATAAATATAGACAAATATATGACCCTTAACATGAGTAATCGTGGTGACTTCATTTAATCTTTGGTCTTCAACCCGACACAAAAAAGCTGATTAGAAACATAGAAAGAATCAACAGAAAGCTTGCTAAAGCCCAGAGCTCCCAGTCTTTAATGAAGCATGTTTAGAAGAAGTCTTGCTCCTGAAGGTACGGATATGTATATGAATATATATATATATATATATATATATATATATATATATATATATATATATATATATATACATAATCAAACTTCCTTCAGAATTTATTATCATTTTCGTGTTGTGTTCCTAACTAACACAATTGGGCACTGATATCTCCTGTAGGGCTGATAGTTACGAGAGTTGAAATAACTTCAACGTGCCCGAGCTCATTGCTTTCCTCCTTGGGCCTAGAACTCTTCATTCAATGGTCGTAAATCACTAAAAATCGCACATGTCTCCACTTAATCTGGTTTCGAATTGCAGATGTCCGTCTTCATATTTATGTTCGACCTTCTCACCACGGTTATTGAAACTCCTCCAAACACGAGGTGCCTACAGCTACCGTCAAGCAAATCAGCGTTTTCCGAAGTAAAAGTTATGTTTGACCTTCTGACCGCTGGGGCTTCGAGCTAGCTTAGGACTGGCTGGAGATGGGGATGTCAGCCACCTGCCACCCCAGACTGGTGGAGCTTTGAACTAGCTTAGGCCTGGCTGGGCACGGGGATGCCAGCCACCTGCCACCTCGGACTGGCGGGGCTTGCAGCTAGCTTAGGCCTGGCTGGAGACGGGGATGTCACCTATCTGCTATCTCGAGACTAAAAAAGAAAGCAAACGGGGGCGACGCTTGGTAGCCTTTGTGATTCTGAACAATACATACAGCTGCCCTTTTTTGCACCAGTGGTCGGGGCGATTGCGAAAGCTATACAAGAAAACATATTATACCTGGCCATACGGACACCATAATGTTCCTTTAGGGAAACACCTATACAATGTGTTTAGGTGTTGCAGACCTTGCAGGGAAGCACCACGCAAATACCTCAAAAATCACCAACACTCTCTTGATGAATTAGATGCCCTATCACATATCCCTCACGCATTTCATGATGTTTAAAACCTGCACCATGCGAAACCGTGTATCATTTCGCGTCAGTGACAACCAATATCTTTTTCACAAAGGTTCAAGGTTAATATAAGGTTACGCTGAAGTCCAGTCAAAGTACAGGACCAGTGAGCGTATTGGACCTGGCTTTCACGCACATTTGAGACGGGTCAACCACAATTTCAGTGTGGTCCGCTGGTAAGTTCAACAGATGATGAAGGCCAAACACTGAATCGTCCCAAGCGAACTACTAGTAAGGAAAATCGCGTAGTTCCACTGTAGGCAAAGTGACATACGTTGTTTTGCCCCAACAACGCAACGAGGGACGATGTATGGCACGTCGATATTGTGTGCAATTACGAACTGATGTAAGAAATCGACAGAAACTGGCCGGTGACATTATCCAATTAGTTCGAATAGACCAGGCAAAGAGCGCCTTGAGATTTCAAAAGAACTTGTGCTGGCCCACCGAAAGCATACAATCGGAACATGTTACACAGGTTTACATAAAGTCTAGCAATTCCTTGTTTCGGAACTTTGCATTGGACACATACAGACATTAGACACAGATATTCGACAGTGTGGGACTACGTGTAACGTCACACATTACAAAACATACCGGAAAATCGCCAGCGGTTTCTTAAATTACCACAGTCAACCATTTTATCAAGCAGCCGCTTACCAAGGTCAGGTTACCGGACGCCAACCTCCTGAAAAGGACACAACAATCAATCAGACAACGGACCAGCGCGGCGGCGTGCAGCCGCGCCGCAGCTGCGGCCGCCTCGGCAGGCACGAGCGGCGCGGTCAGTGCAGACGACCGGCAGCCCACCCATGTACGTGGGTAATGGGCGTGCATCTTCAGTTACAAGCTGTCCACGCGAAGAGAGCTTTTTGCACAATCGTCTTCACAGCATAAGCGCCAACAACACATCACGTTGAAATACATACGGTAAATGATGTTAGGTGATGGAAGATAGCTTACATGACCATATATGGCCGTGCCAAAGGAACGGATGAAATTCGTACATTGAGACAAACGTGTCTTAAAATGGATGCCACAAGTTCACAGGGGACACGAGGTTCCAAACCCTAACCATTCTGTGTGAAGTCAATCACCCACACACTTAGGCCGGTCACCCACCCACTGAGGCCGGTCCGGTCACCCACCCACTAGAGCCGGTCAGCTACCCACTAGAGCCAGTCACCCACCCACTAGAGCCGGTCACCCACCCACTAGAGCCAGTCACCCACCCACTAAAGCCGGTCACCCACCCACTAGAGCCGGTCACCCAGCCACTACAGCTGGTCACCCACCCGCTGGAAATGTCAAAGGAGTCAGGGGCGTGACCAGTTCCGAGACACGCTGCTGGGTCACGGGGAACCTAGGAGCTGCACACGCTCATACTGCGGTGTCACGGAGAACTTAGGAGCTGCACACGCTCATGATTGTCCGATAATTTGCGCATTTACCTCTGGAGGGTGTTGATATTACCTTCATGCAAACATTTCCACTCAAAGGCGACCATTTATCAACTTTCGTGCCACTGCTATGCCTTTTTTACACCTCGTGATCAAACCGGAAATTAATTTTCAGAGGGACACCAAGGAAACAATCGTCTTGCGGAACATGCCGTATTTTTATTCAATCGCCTTTTAAAACTGAACAACCGTCCTGCAACCGTGCTTATTCATCACTGGAGGTGTCGCCATTCTAAAAGTGATTTAGAAATACTATTCGAAACACAAGAAATGCAAATTCAATCCGCGGGAAATATTTAGCACGATATATATATATATATATATATATATATATATATATATATATATACCTGAGCAGCGATTATTTTCGTCGGGAGTTCACGACACCAAACACCGTGTCCCTTTGTTCGTCTTAAAGCATTACACCGTCATTGTAAACCTGCCATGAAATGCACATAAAAAAGACCCGGCAGCAGCGCTCAACCAATCTCAGTACACTCCAAAGAATTTTACGTGTGTAGGTGATGCAAGCCAATACAAACGGATCGTGTGGTTCAAAATATTTGCGGATGCAAAATCATACATGAGCGCTTCTAATGCCCGCTATCCCACCTGTTAACGTATGGTAAAAGGCTGATGGTGATCTTGCTGTTGCGGAAGTCGCTGCTCTCCTCCACCACTTCCACAACGTACACGTCCCTGCAACAGCAAACGTAGCAGTCAAACAGGGACCCACGTGCACCCGCACTAACCTCTGAAGCGGCCGTTGCGTCACACGGCAGGCGGACCAGTCCACGGCGTCGGGCGCATGACTCTATGTGGCCGACACGTTTAGACTGTTCGCGCATCCGCCAATACGCCAACGAACCGGAACACTGGCACGACAGGACAGCAAGGATGCCAGGGTAAAGCGTGCTAGCGCCTACGGTTGACCAAGATGTGCAGGTTATTTGTACCAACTCTGGCAGTGACCACATTCGCTGCTCCGCCCGCCAGTGGCACGGAACCAGAGCTCCGGGATAACACGCGCCGCCGTCACCTGTTACCGTGCGTCCATCAACTCCGGGGTAACACGCGCCGCCGTCACCTGTTACCGTGCGTCCATCAACTCCGGGGTAACACGCGCCGCCGTCACCTGTTACCGTGAGTCCATCAACCCCGGGGTAACACGCGCCGCCGTCACCTGTTACCGTGCGTCTATCAACCCCGGGGTAACACGCGCCGCCGTCACCTGTTACCGTGCGTCTATCTAACGCATGCCGATGTCGGAGTGCTGTGTGCAATGTGTGTATCCCGCAGGGTGCGATAGATACACGAGTTCACACAGTCCGGTGTCCACCATGACGGAAAGTGATTGGTGGGCTTAATGGTTTGTATTCCTTTGTCAAGTTTGTCGACAGGTAGCCAGGCCATGTTTCTAATGGGTAAATCAAAGCAAAATACAACTTACAGAGCGTTATGGGATCTACGTGTTATCATGCAAAAGTTTAAACAAAATTTTGACGGCTATATAGATTGAACATAGTTCTAGGTAGGTCATGGCTATTAAATGCGTTGAAATGTGTCGTAAAAAACTAATTTGCAATACGGTCTCGGGTTACAAAACGATTTCGAAAAGATACTGAGCTAACCTCTGCTGGGTATTATATCTAAGCGTTGCGCGTATGATAGGATGACAAGGACGCTTAAAATGTCTTGCACCACATGGACCTCGACGCTAGTCGTCGACATCTCTTACGCAGCAATTTGCGATGTTTATGATCAATCAAACAATGGAAGCCGGCTTTGCCAATAACTTTGCGAGCTTTTCTTCCTGTGGAGCCCATGTGTCACATAAGCCCATACACCACATATGCGAGGCCAAAATAGCCGGCGCCAGTGCTTCCTGCCTCGCCCGCTATCATGATGCGTCATGGGACGGTGGCCGGTTGGTGACGGAGCATCGGCACCGGCCTGCGCAGCTGGCGCTATCGTGATGCGTCATGGGACGGTGGCCGGTTGGTGACGAAGCATCGGCGCCGGCCTGCGCAGCTGACACTATCGTGATGCGTCATGGGACGGTGGCCGGTTGGTGACGGAGCATCGGCACCGGCCTGCGCAGCTGACACTATCGTGATGCGTCATGGGACGGTGGTCGGTTGGTGACGGAGCACCGGCACCGGCCTGCGCAGCTGACACTATCGTGATGCGTCATGGGACGGTGGCCGGTTGGTGACGGAGCATCGGCGCCGGCCTGCGCAGCTGGCAGTTGTCGGCCGTGATCTTTGAAAGGCGTGCCGGCACATTAGAGGCAACGTAATGAGGGACTGTGGCCGCCATGTACTTGGGAGCCGCGCCTCCTCAGCCCACCAACACTGTATCTGACATCCGTCACTGCTCTGGTCCACGCCGGTTCACGTCGTAAGTCGGCACACTGCTCACCACAATACTCAGCGTAAAATGTCATTCGTCAATGACGCTCCCTTGGTTCCAAATCAACAACTATCTTAGTGTGCTTTCCGATAGGTGCTCTTCTGCTTCCTAAGCCTGATCAACACGGCTTTGCCGGGGTTTTGTGCCATAATGCACTGACAATCCTGCCAGATGTCATTGCTCGGCGCTGTCGTCACCAGCGGCATCCCCCTCCCCCGCCCCATTCGTCGCCGTTCGCATCTGACCGGTGTCGGCTGGCCGTTTGAACAGCGTTGTTTAATTTGAGGAGGGCTTTAGCCCCCCCCCCCCCCCCGCTCCAACTTGGACTTCAATCGTCCCCCCTCCCCTCCCACTTTGGAAAGAAGTGGGACGAATCTAGTGAGAAACTTGTTTATCGGCATATCTTTGGGGTAGGTGAAATCATTTTAACTATTCAGCTCGCCCACTTCATGTAGTGGTGACGCAGCTACTGGCTGCTCCCGAAGCCCCTGGCTGCGGCGCAACGTCTCCGTGCCTGCCGAAGGTCACCGGGCGCAAGTCAGGCCCGGTTGCGCCGGCGAGGCGCGGCCGCCCCAAGACACGTGGCGCTCGTCCAAACATGGCCGCTGCCCCCGCACCACGTCGGCAGCACGGCCACCAACGTAAATACACATGTTACAGACACACTTCACAAAACCGGGCCAAAGCTACAACACTGACGCTATGGAACGACGTTGGCCAGCTGACCTTTTTCATTAACCATTCTGGGACTAACTAGCTTACAGAAAATAGATTGACCAGCGCCCGTTGGAGCGGAGGAAGTCGACTTCCCCCGCTCACAGCCGTACGTTTGCAGCGACAACAAATGTTCAGCACCTGTTCCTCCACCAACTCCATATGTTAATTTATAGCTTCGATCTGCCAAGAGCAGTGACCTAGGCTAGGTCAATGAGGTCAACTACTGAAAAATCTGACCATGCATAATTTCTTGTGCGTTATTTGTCATTGTTCAAACTTGCTACGGTAAAAGAGCATACCTTTAATGCGCAACATTCATATTTGTTTGCAACAGGCGAGGTCGGTGACCTGAGGTGAGGTCAATGTTTGCTATTTTCCGTAGCCAGCGCAAATTGGGACGTATTTTTGTGTAGCTATGGTGTTTGTACGTGAAGAAGAGATTACTAACTTGTACGCGTAACCATAATTTAACCATAACCGAAGCACATCACACTGGCCCTAGCCATAACTTACCTCTATCGGTGCCTGCTGGAAAACACATGCTTAGTTAAAAAAGGCAGTTTCAGGAGGCAATTTAGTGTGCAGAATTTGAGTATTCCACTGAAACATGTTGCGATATCATTCGCATGCATAATGAGGTCTGAATAGGTCACGTGAAGACATGTGTGGTCGTGATGTCTTCCCAGCACAATGGCCAATGTTGTCAGAAGCGGAGACGTTAGATGAACGAGTGCGATGCGTGTAACCACATCTTTATCGTGTTTGTAAAGCTGATCGAAGGGGCCATGCATAATGTATACCAGAGGTATGCGATCTTGAGTACCTGTAGATGTACAATACACTATTTCTGACCACACACAAGTATTGCACTGGTCACTTAGGCCCGGTAAGCACTTACTTTTTTCCTCCGGATTGTTCATGAATTTGACCAAGTTCACATCCGCTAATCTCTAGATCACCCTAAAATGGTCTTGCTGTGCCTAGCATGCTTTTCTTCCACAGCTGTACCTAAAAAATAAACTTGGTCAGAAGAACATTGAAAGAAAACAAAGTCTTGTTCTTGTAGGCTACTGGAATACCAATTTTGAACGGTGACCTCATCTGATCTGATTACTGTGGGCGAACACATATGGTCGGAATGGGCTGCCCACAGTCTTAACACACACTGCTGTGCTCTTACCATCCGCCTTGATGCATTAACATATCAACATATGTTTAATCATAGCTATCAGAACGACCGTTGTTTCCATTCGTCACCTCTGGTTGCATCACATTTGACCAATGACGAAGATTCGGCGTGCACTCTTCATGATTTGACAAGACATTCGAAACGGTACCTTTGTTTTTCTCGCCTGCCATCTGGAAGTTGGAGATCCGGGAGGGGGGGTCAACCTTTTCCGCCGAGCGCGGTTGCCTCAGACCTCTGGCCGGGCACAGATTAATTCAAGAAAGTTTGATTAGCAAATTTACTGCACATATTAAGGCGCAATAAGCTGTATTAGGTATGAATTGTATCACTGTGACAGCTCTCTACTACCTGACCTTGACAGCTGACGCTTTGGTTACATTCGCCTTTGGCTACCCGACGTTCCTCGGGTAACCATTTTGGAAATAAGTAGCCTCCAGCGGAAGCCCTACGTTGAGAAAGTTTCAGTTGTTAAATGTATCAATACCGAATGAAGTTTGACTTTATCCTCGTGCAAAAATGAGTCTGACGTTGCGGCAGTTGCGTCACGTGACAGGTCAGCTGACGTTTTGTTTGCAGTTGGGCCATGGCTGCTTCTGAGCATCTCCGGAATGGAGGACCAAACATCAGCTGTCCCGGCACTGTTTTGACCTCAGCTGTCTGCGCCCCCTCCACGGTACGTTGGAGGCATCGTCTCGGCTCGCCGGCGGCAGCAGCGGAGGCGGTCTGCCACCCCGGCCCGGACGCGCCTGCAGCGGACGGATGCCACCCGGCGCGGCACCGGAGGCGGTCTGCCGGCCGCCGCCCCGGCCCAAATGCGCCCGCAGCGAACGGACGCCCCTCGCCGGTGGCAGCAGCGGAAGCGGTCTACCGGCCACCGCCCGGCCCGGACGCGCCCGCAGCGGACGGACGCCATTCGGCGCCGTTGTCGGCCGCCGGCACCGCGCCGAGCGTTGCTAAATATAGCAGGTCGCCGGTCGACGCCATCGGCAGATCGGCCGCACCGCGCCCAGGTGGCCGCCCGCGCCATTGAGAGCGGCCCAGCCCGGCCATCTGAGCGGCAACACACCATGCCAGCCAGCCGGCCGGCCAGCCATGGGCCAGGGCACCCCGCGCCATTGAGAGTGGCCCGATCCGGCCATTTGAGCGGCATCACACCACGCCAGCCAGCCAGTCAGCCAGCCAGCCATGAGCCAGGACACCCCGCGCCTCACTGGCGGTTTTGGAGGGGGGGGGGGGGTGTCGCGGTCCCCCAAGACCGCGAAAGTAACCTGATTTCTGTAATTTCACCATAGGCTGTCGCTGCGAAGCCAAGTTTGTTCTCTTAAACCAGACGATGGGTCTGTCTACGGTCACGCTTCAACTGCATAGGTAATACCCGCCTCCCGGCGACAAAAACAGGCATCGCGTCACCACCACAGCACAACTTTTGGCGTTGACCGCGGGGCAGAGAGATTCGATTCAAAGGTTTTAACACCATTCCCAGTACAAGGTGAAACCCAGTTTTAAACTGGACAACTTTTTACGAGGTGAAAACCGAAGTTTGACAGCAGCTTTCGACATTGCAAATCCTGAACAACGCTGGTGTATCTCGAAATTCCAAGCGAACAATACGATGTTGCAACAATTGTCACACTGCAGCCGCCGCGTCTCGGCGTTGTGGCCTGAACGCGGCACCGCGTGTTTAGGCCATAGGGCGCCGCTACAGCATGGCGAACAACTACAAATATAGGCCACAGACACGTTTATTTACATTACAAACCAAGCTGTTTCCCCGTTGTGCCTTGACCGTCGTGAACGATCTACCGCAAAACGAGAAAACGAGAAAACGAGAAAAACGGTTAGGTCATGCAAGCGTTAATAAGGAGGCTTTCGCTTTGTGGTTAGCACAGTATGGAGCATTCCTGTCTTCATGGGCGTTCAGCTTGTCATATACTGATATCGCTCTGGCGCGTGCATCATGATGGGGTTTGGTGTGAACTGGCTTTTCGATCTGTCCATGGAGACGCCGCGTGCGTGGGAGCCAACCATGACGCGTGGGGGTACAAACCGCACATACTTGATCCCACCACCCCTTCCATGGCTTATGCCAGCCAAAACTTATCATTTGGGAGACATAGTCATGTGAACTGATAACTGCACTACAGCCTTTCAGACCTCCATCACTACAATCGCTGTGCCTGATCCCGGTAAGTGTGTGTGTGACATTTACTTTTAGCGCACGTGTTTGCTTTAATCATGCAAACTGCAGTTGCGCCCCCCCCCCCCCCCCCGTTCCAGCGAAATCGTTCATGCGACTCTCATATGTACCTCTCAACCTATTCCTCAACCTACCCGACATCGGTCAGTATGTTGAGGACACAAGCGGACGGGCTGATCTGCTCAGCGCGGTTGCCACAACCGAGATAATCTGGCATCCCAGAGATAAGACATGCCGCGTGACACATACCGCCGCGACTATCAGCATGCGCTCCCCGCGGGAGCCGTTGCTCGCGACAAGTTTGACACATTACAGTACACTCTATGAACCGTTAAGTTAAGCGGACTTTAATATTGTCCTACTTTGGGCCAGCCCCTGACTGTGTTGTCGCGGCTGTGGTGCAGCATGCAGTCAAAACCAGCTTCCTCAAGTACATCATCGCGCCTTAAAGACCAGGCAGGATCAGACACGTCACACCGTCCCGCTCTGACATACCTCTACAATCGGATGCACCACGAGCTGACTGATATGTCGAGCTAATTATAGTGGCTCGGGTTGGTTAAAACCGCCTAACACCGTCCACTTTCAAGCACGTAGCTCCCCTTCCTCCTTCCTTCAACCCAGCCATTGTATATAATAAGCACTACGCCTGTTCAGCCTGGCGGCGATCACCTCTGCTGAGTCAGGCAGGGGCACCGACTACTGACCTCCGCCAAGTCCAGCGAGGTGTCCAGTGTTAATATATACCCTACCGAGCCAGACAGGTGAACCATAATAAACATACTGCACAATGTTGACCTCTGTCATGTCCGGCGAAGGTATAAAAGGTTGACCTCTACCGAATCTCTATCGGCAGGGGCCCCGAGTGTTGACCTCTGCTAAGTCTGGCAGGGCTAAATAGTATTGACGTCTGCTCAGTCTGACAGGGGTCAACACTAGCCATGAACCGTTAAGTGTGGACTCGTGTTGACCTCTCCTCAGTCTGGTAAGGCTAGTCAGTGTTAACCTCTGCCGATTGCGGCAGCAACACGAAACGCTAGTCTCTGCTGAGTCTCGCAGGGGCCCAGAGTGTCGACCCCCGCCGAGTGCAGGACAACAGACGTCGAGGCTGACCTTTGCCCGAGCCGGGCCAGATGACGGTGGTAGCAACCGTCGAGCGTCACGGCCCGGGCACGGCGGGGCACCAGGCCCGCGTTTGCTCGCAGCGTGCTGGTCGTAGTGTCACATGTGTCCGGCGCGCTCAGGTCTGGGGACAGGGCACAGCCCGGGTCAGCTCGGCGGCGCAGGTCACGGCCAGCCGTCGGCCCGGCCCCAGAGTGCCACTACACGTCTGTGGCAGACCCGCACTGTTATGCTTATCGTGGCAGACGTCACAGAAGCCGTCCCGATGCGCCAGGTAATCGCCAGGTCCTATATCAGTCATTAGACGTCACAGAAACCGTCCCGATACGCCAGGTAACCGCTAGGTCCTTCACCAGTCATTAGATATCACAGAAACCGTCCCGATACGCCAAGTAACCGCCAGGTCCTATATCAGTCATTAGACGTCACAGAAACCGTCTCGATACGCCATGTAACAGTCAGGTCCTTCATCAGTCACTAGACGTCACAGAAACCGTCCCGATACGCCAGGTCACCGCCAGGTCGGTTATCAGTCATCAAACGTCGCAGAAACCGCCAGGTCCTCTGTCAGTCATTAGACGTCACAGAAACCGTCCCGATACGCCAGGCAACCGCCAGGTCCTACATCAGTTATTAGACGTCACAGAAACCGTCCCGATACGCCAGTTAACCGCCAGGTCCTTTGTCAGTCATCAGACGTCGCAGAAACCGTCCCGGTACACCATGTAACAGTCAGGTCCTTCATCAGCCATTAGACGTCACAGAAACCGTCCCAATACGCCAGGTAACCGTCAGGTACAGTCAGTCCCCAATGGTTACAGAAACCGTCTTGATACACCAGGTAACCGTCAGGTTCTATCCGTCACCAGACGAAAGTCGATATGTACATGGTTGCGGCGAGCTTCTGTGAACGCAGATACCTACTGCAAACTTGTCACGGCAGGAATGTAAACGGCACAGCAGAACAGATTACATTCAGGCAGCCGGGACAAACCAGTCTGAATACACAAAAATACGCGGACTCGCCTGGGTGTACAAAATGCGTAAGTTGTGTAATAAAATCAGTACCTCCTAACATGCCCCGACACTCTTGATCGATTAGGGATCCTCCACGGATTCTTCCTATTCGCCTGAAAGGCTCTATACGCTTTTGCGGGGGCCCCGTTTGGCGGGGTACACTCGGTTGCTCAGAGGTTCCTTCATATTGGTCTCGGATTCTTTCCACTTGCTCCAAGGGCCTTGTGCTGTTACTGGGACTCATATAAGGTAACGCACCGCGGCACTTGATGCTCTAGGGCCTCCTGCATTGGTCTGGGGCTAGCTACCTTTCCTCTCATTTGCGGAGGACCCGCCGCTCCTATCGGGACCCTTTTGTGAAACTGTATGGCCGCTCTTGATCGCGCAGGGGCATTCGTTCCCGCACAAGGGTCTCGGGTAGCATCCCTCTGGTCAGAAGGCACTGCGCTCTGGCCGGGTCCTATATTCCAGCCTGCCAGGGACTCCCGAGCATACAGGAGCCCACGACGTTAGTCTTGGGCTCGCTTCGCTTGTTCTGAGGACTCTACACTGTTGACAGGAGCGTTTTTGTTGGCCTGCCGCGGCACCCTCGGTCGCTCAGGTTCCGTCGCTACTGGCCTTGGGTTTTCCCATATTATCGGAGAGCCCACGCTGCTAACGCGGACCTGAATCATCGGCCGAGCACCTCTGATCAATCCGGGGCCCTCAACATCGGCTGTGAGCTCTTCCGATGAAGCCAGGAGCATTTTCTGTTGCCGAAAGTCCCACGTGTACTTGCGAGCGCCAGGGCGCGTCGCCTGCTCGTCTTTACGGGCCTGGCTAAATTACTACATGTATACAAGCCCGAGACTACTGCAGGGTGACGATTTCTCTTAGCGCCTTAGCCTTACAGCAACAGTCGGATATGTACGGATGTTTGTTTTTTACGTGGAAATGTCGTGCATAGTTTAACGCACCGCCGACGCCGTATCTCATTTCCTTCGGTCATTCAATTTGTGACACTTAATATGCCTGTGCATCACGTTCTTATTACGTTTGAATACTGGGGTACCGTATTCTTCGTAACAGCCAAAGCAAATACCCTGCGTTAGTCAGCGGCCATCAGCTGATCACATCGATGAGCCGGCTAGCCGTAAATAAGCTGCGAATCAAGTTCGTGTTTCATTTTGACGGCATTCAGCAGCCAACTCAAGTTGATCTTGCCACGTTTTTTCCGATATGCTTGCCTCAAAAACGCAAGATTCACCATGACCTGGGGAAAATGAACAAGCTCCAAAGTAGCACGCATGGTTTTCCAGGGATGCGCACAGTAAGATGAATTCCCGAGGATTTTTTCTTTGAGGCCCCAAACTCTAGAGGGTCTCGCAATGTTGTGTGCCCACCTTGATGACATCCTGAATCCACCACTGTTTATAATATATATATATATATATATATATATATATTCTATATATATATATATATATATATATATATGTATATATGTATATATGTTTATACATATATATATATATATATATATATATATATCTTCATTTGATATTGCAAGTACGACTAAGTTCCAAACGCACTTAATTAATTCGCACCCGTTATTTTGAACACAGTTTTGTTCATGAGATGGGCAGAATCACGGCCTAAGTCACATGCGATCATGATCGTTATGAAATTCAGGTTTGAATGATATCAAATTCACATTCGCGGAAGTCGTGAGAGGATTTGCAGACCGAATGAATTCAGGATTACATCCGGAAAATAAATCCAAGAACCGCTTTATGATTTACGGCCACCATATTGCTATGTACATTTCAGCTTCCCATCCCCGTCCTACAGGGTCTTACATTTGATGTTGTAGACATGCTGGCATCACTACGCATATAAACCCCAATAAGCAACCTCTCAACCTTAATCGACATGCCCTGCTCCGAACAATGCGTTACGCGTTCACCAATTAGTATTACATTCACAATTCGCAACTATTTCCCTCCCCATTTCCCTCATCCCCTCAGCCCCATTAACTATTTCCCTCCCCATTTCCCTCATCCCCTCAGCCCCATTCTTTCCATGTTTGTCTCGATTGCAATCACTGGTAGCAGAGGTGTAATTTCAAGCGCGAAGGTTCAGCCCCCCCCCCCCCCCAACTTGGACTCCAGCTATTCCCAACTAACATGCCCCTTATTTTGAAAGTGGGCTTTCGCCCCTCATTTTATTGTTTGCAGGATGCACATTTTTCGCATCTTCCCATGTAACATTACCAGTTTTAGGTCCACTCTTCCCCCAAACTTAGATACGATCCCAGCCCCAATACTACTTTGTCCCTTCAGTCTCATGGACGTAGCTCGACATAATGTCAGGCGAACCTGGTCTCCACAATTTCCAAAGGGGAGTGAACGCGGCTCGGTGAGAGGTCATCACACTAATTTTGAACATCCTGACGGGAGTCATCAATGACACAAAAAACGCAGGCCTAAGGGAAGGGGGCCGCCTTCCTCTTTGTTGCGTCCAACCGCTATGATGGCAGAGGTGGGTATGCTTTACATTGGCATATGGGTTGTCTATCAATGACGTCCGTAGTAAGGAGCGTTTATGATTGTGAGCAGCGAGCAGAGTAAGCGTTAACCGAACAATGCATTGGCGGAAGATTGGAAACGTTTCCGTCACGAGACCACGTTACTGGTATGCGTACGCTTTGTAAACACTTGGAACGATCTGAGCATTCAAGTAAATAATGCTTGTCACAGTGGAGTGCTGTTGGAGACGTCACCGTGCCATAGGGGGGAAATCTCAGCAACAGTGCGACGTTTCCTTGAATCAAATTATGATGACCTCATCTTTGTATGTTTTCCCACATGATGTTTCAACCTCTCGTGTCATGTAATCGATTTGACCAATTGGGTTTTTGGTAACACTACATCACGCATATGATGAGAGAAGCCAAACAAATGAAAAGTATTACCTTCATCGTGGTAATTTAAGAGCGTATATTAGCACAGATCATCCACGGGGAGTAGGGAGCCGAAAAGCGTCTGCCGTTTCTCGTTTCAGAAGAACTTCGAGGCATCACCGACCAAATGTGTCTCACCCACCACATGGCACGATTCCGCTCCAACGTTAACACAGAACTTGCAAGAAGCGTGTGAACCAATAGGCCAATAGGGCGTGACAACGACAAACCTTGCATGTTATTACGTCGATATTCGCCCGGCGACCCCCCTGCGGCCGCAAAACGCCAGACGGCCTGATCGTGATCTTGTCGGAGGGGGGGGGGGGGTTGATCGGGCCGGCTGCGTCACTGGCCACATGTGCCGGCGACGCGGGTCTCGTGTGTCAGTGTGTGGTGCCGCGCCTCGTCACTGAGCGGCGCTGGCGCTGGCGGTGCAGGTTCGCACATGTGTGCGGTGTTGGTGCGCTCAACGTTTTCCTTGTTATGGGGGTGCTCGCCTCAGCCCCGACGACATCTGAGACCATGAGCAGCTGGCAGCGCTCGAAGCTAAGAGGCCTCTTGATAAAACACCGAACTTCGGCTGCGAGCTCGGACGCTGGACACATGACCACTAGTGAACGCAGACGGTGGCGTAATACAGGGAGAGCTTTTGGTGACATGTCACCCCCCCCCCCTTCCTGAAGGTGGCGGGACCCTGAGGCCAAAGACCATCCGAATTCAGAGACAGAGCCCCTATGGCGAGGGCCTCTTGACTGAAAAACCCCGCTATGACCCACTTTAGCTTACTCCTAGGGGAAATCCTTGCCACGGCACCGAACGCAGACGCATGGAACACGATGCTTAGTAATCGTCCCAGTTCTAATCAATATGCTATATTGTAAACTCTGGAACAGGAATTTCATAGTTTCGGCAGCAGTCAAAGAGACGCTGGCCTCCAGGGCCGATCCGGCGCCATGCGACAAAAACGGTGAACTCGACCGCGGTGGGAGTTTGCTCAGTGCCGCGGGGCGGACCACCGTGGCGCGGGACGCCCATGGCAGCCGCGCGCACACGATAAACAATCAATAGTGGGGCGGCCGCTGCGGGCGGCTGGCTCGGCGCCAGCTGCGCTGTCCGGCGGCTGCGCGCCTGCCGGAGTACCTAGCTAGCGCACTCAGCCTCGCAGGCTCGGCCACGTACTGGTGGCAGGTCATATATTCAAATTGCTCTGGGAAGGGAATGAGCGAGTGTTTACTTGATATATATCTCTGGGCACTCCATCAAAAACCTAGACTTCCACCGCCATTCGGAACGCAAATCACACCCGCTGCTTCCACGACGGGCGGACAAAAAAGATCCCCTGACCACTCCAAACCGAGCGTAAAACATGCCAATACCAGAACTGCAGTGGTAGGTAAAGTTGCACCCACTCAGCTTACTGTCGTGAGTTAAGGTTAGAACAAGTTGAGCCGAAAGCAAGGCCAAAGCCATGGCCTTGAGGTCGCGTTACCAGCTCTCGGCTGGAACTACGCACCACCCTGTCGAAGTGTGCAAGCCACGAACACAACGAGTGAATATGGTCCCAGCACACACCCCTGTGGCTAAACCAGCTCGCATCATGCTAGTGGTCTGAATCTGAATTAATATACCCGGATGCGCATGAGCGGTTCTCGACAGGGTCCAATGGCTGCCCGTCAAGGCATAATACATTCTGTCACCAGACGGCCGTGCCCCGGCAACAGTCACGAGCCCACGAGCAGTGGCGACATGACGCGCAGTAGCGAGCCAAAAGCACTGACCGGCATGACCAGCGGTGGCAAGGCCACAGCACATTTCCAATGGCCCACGCGGCGCGCAGCGATGAGGCCGGTGCACAGTCATAACCAGTCAATAGCCTCAGCTAGGCGCCACGCTCCCGCAAGGCAGAAGGACCGAACGGCGTCGGACGCAGTGCAGACCGCCCTCCGCCCACCGCTAGTTCCAAGAAGCAAACGCTTCAAACAAACTGACACTTTGCAAATGGCTGTGAGGACAGTGCGTCTATACAGCACTTGAAATATTTGACACATCGCTCTGGAGTCCTCGGTGAGCAAATCTCGCAGAGTAACGTCACATATAACTTGCTCGTCAGGAAGATAGCCACAATTCAGAGGCTTGCGTGTCAAGTGCCAACGGCAACGCAGACTTGATCCGGGATATTTCCGCTCAATCCACCGCGTGTGCAATGTCACACGAGGCGATATTCTGGCACGACGACATAAATAATCAATTAAACTGTCTGGCTCGGGCTCGGGCTCGGCCTCGGCCTCGGCCTCGGCCTCGGGCTCGGGTTCGGGTTCGGGCTCGGGCTCGGGCTCGGGCTCGGGCTCGGGCTCGGGCTCGGGCTCGGCCTCGGGCACGGGCTCGGGCTCGGGCTCGGGCTCGGGCTCGGGCTCGGGCTTGGGCTCGGGCTCGGGCTCGGGCTCGGGCTCGGGCTCGGGTTCGGTTCGAGGTCAGGTCCGGTTCGCTCCGTTCTTTTTAGAGAAGTACATGTTTCCTGTCTGTATTCCGTCCGGCGGGATGTCCCGTCTTTCTTGGTTCGATAGCGTGGCTCCTGTTCTGTCCTGTCCTGGTCCTGGTCCTGGTCCTGGTCCTGGTCCTGGTCCTGGTCCTGGTCTTGGCCCTGTTCCTGTTACAGTTCCTGTTCCTGTTCCTGTCCCTGTTCCTGTTCCTGTTCCTGTTCCTGTTCCTGTTCCTGCCCCTATCCCTATCTCTATCGATATCCCTCTCTGTCCGTATCCCTATCCTTGTCCCTATCCCTATCCCTATCCCTATCCCTATCCCTATTCCTATCCCTGTCCCTGTCCTTGTAGCCGTCGCCGGGGCGCTGCCCGTTCTCATCTCTATTTTCCTCCGTCCTTGTCCTTATCCTCGTCCTCGTCCTCGTCCAAGTCCGTGTCCGCACACAAAACCGTCCCTGTCCTTATCCCTATCCCTCTTCCTGCTCTCGTTTTTGTTCCTCTCCCTGACCCTGCTTCTGCTCCTATCCTCGTCACCGGTTTTTTGTTATCCCTGTTCCAGTCCCTGCTCCTGCCCCTGCTTCTGTCCTTCCGTCCGTCTCACGCCGCTCTGTCCTCATCCAGCTAGTACGGTCGGCTCCTGCTCTTGTTAGCCTGTATCCGATCATGTCGCGGGTCAGACCGGGTTGTGTTACCGCGCTTATGGCCTTGCACGTTGTGCCGAGTCCAAGTACAGCAGGGATCGCGACGTGGGGGGGGGGGGGGGGCAGAGGAGCAGCCACTCCCCACTTCTGGAAATATGCATCATTGACCCTACAGCATCGTATGGAAAGAAGCGAAGTGGAAACAAGTTACCTCTTCTTACTCCCTCCCCCCCCCCCCCCCCAAGGCCCGCCATCGTTAACAGACAGCTCGAACAGAGCTTTTGGCTATGTGGTGCATGGGGCTCTAAACCATAAGCGACCATGTCAAAACTGGTTTTTTTTTATATACACCCTACCAATTCATCGGTGTCCAATCGGCTCTTCCATTCCAAATCAAACTCCTTCAGTTTCCCATGTTTGCCGCACAGGCAGCGGCCGTTGAGAGCGGCAGGGGTGGCCGCCAGGTGGGGCACCACGGCCCGGTGACCCCTGAAGCGCCACTGACCGCCACCGGGGTCAGCCGGCGGCCGGGGCGCCCGTCCCCCTCCCCCCCCCCCCCCCCACTCACCGATTCCCACGGTCAGCCGGATGGTGTCGGCGGCCGACACCTCCGTGTACGAGGTGACGGCCCAGAGCCGCTCCATCACGAACTGGAGCAGTGCGTCCCGGCCGCGCACGCGCTCCGACTGCACCTCGCATGACGCCAGGTCACAGCGCAGCACGCGGCACCGCTTGGTGACCTGGGGACGGGCGCGCCGTGAGCGGGTCTACCATCACCCAACAGTCAGTCAGCCAGCGCACCATTACCGCACAGTTTGCCTACGCCAGCGTACCATTACCGAAGAGTTAGCTGAACAGCCGGCCTACGCCAGCATACCATTACCGAACAGTCAGCCTACGCCAGATACGCCAAAAAATTAGACAACCTTAATAGTAACGTTATTCTGTCTTAGTTAGTCATGATGGGCTGTACCAGCGGGCACAAACTTTCTCAATTGTCTCGAAACCATGATATTGAAGGACACACTGAACGCCACGTTTAAGAAAAATCAGTTAAAATGCCTCAGGATGGCATAGTGAAATCTGGCAGATGGCAAGAACAAAGCTGATAGATGGCAGATGGCAAGAACAAAGCTGCCGCTCGCTTATCCCGTAACGACGACATGGCAAAGCCGCTCGCTTATTCCGTAACGACGACACATCAGCTTCCTTCGTTTTCGAACGGTGAACTTTCCATTATATGGAGCGGTCACCTAGATGCCGTAAAATTACACTGGTGACGTTTCTGATGACGGTTATCTGTAAGCATGTTCGCAAAACTGTCAGCAAAAATCAAGCCGCCATGGTCTTGACACGAGGCACATAACATTGTGCTAAGAACACCACATACGTCGAGTTTCAACCGAAAGACGGTAATAGGATAACTGCTGTCAGAGATATGCAAAATAAACGATTACATTTATTTTCCTTTAGATTGCATGTTGCAACACATTCAATATGTGGTGTCAAAAGATGAGCAACATTACGGCGACAACGAAAGCGTGATTTCGTCTTCACTTCACACATAATTTAGGGCTCATCGCTCATTAATGACGTGAGGTGGTTTGCACGAACTGCAGCTATTACCGGCTCCTACGCCGGAATCGCTAGATCAGTGGCTGACAGCAGCGCAGCACTGAGATTTTCTCCCATAGAGGGTGCAATTGTGTAGACGGTAAAGACAACCGGGCACTGTCAGTACAAGGACTGCCACTAGCTGTACTCTCGGAACAAATTACCACCTCTGTAAGTTTGATAGATCTCGCAGATGGTACAACCAGCCTCATTCTGCAAATTGGCCTCAGCGAAGACGCTAATGTTGTCAGCGAACTATCAAGTCATATTCCACGATGTTGTACCATTATATCAGTGATAACTGCGGCTTCACCAGCACACGTAGCTTAGTTACAACTTTTTCTTCACCTTCGCGGAAAACTAGCTAGCTAGCTCCCGGAATTCGAAAGTTCTCGTCAGACTGCATCAAATAGATGTGACTGAAAAATGGTGATCGTGGCTTATTGATAAACGGCGTTAAAAACCTCAAAAACCTTTACCGGATGGACATTAGTGGGCATCGACAGATGTGATCTGCAAATGGACATGTCAGGTCAAATTCGTCCAAGCTATTGTTCCATTAGCCCGCCCAGCTATACCAACAACTTACCAAGTCCCAATAAACCGGATTTCCCCTGTCCTAAACAATAACAATTGCGTCTAACGATGCCACCCCGTTTCAATCAAAGCGTGAAGCAGGTCGTGGACCACCTCTTACGGTCTCGGGCGTTATCACATCAGGGAATTTTCAATCGTCCAATGCACGTTAAAAAACTCGGCAAACTAACCATTCGACAAACTTACGTTCGTCTACACACCGTTTTCAAGTTCTCACTTTGACACAGGTCATTCGGTTAATTTTCAATTCGTTGATTTTCCGTTCGTCTAATTTCCATCCGCCTAGGTCTTACTTCGGCATAGTGACACCGTTTAGTCGTTAGCGTCTTTTTAACATGGTGACAAACAACACATGACAGCACAAAGCATTTGGTTTTTCCAAATTCCGTAAAACAACGCTTGTCAAGGGCCATTCCACATTTTGTTATGTAACCATTACTTACAATCACTTGGAAAGAAGTGCCATTTTGAAATCCGTTGCGGCCTTCTACAAACCTGTGGACAAAATGAAAGTTACACCAATTAAAGGGTACGTTGCATGCGTGTAGCAGTTCATTCCGGTCACTACATAAGCAGAGCAGATGCCCGCTCATTACGCCACTCAGCATATTAGCATGTGTTAGATTTGCCGACTTGAGGCCAGTGGTCGCTACTGGTCACGACTAGCACAACCCCAACACCACCAGACCTCACACGGTGTCTGACTAATACAATCAGTAAAACAGGCCACAGCGGGCACTACGCGCCAGACGGTTCGATCACAAGTCCCACGTGCTACTACGCAGCAGTACGTGTCAGCAGCCAACAGAGACTCACAGGTGGTTACGAGCGGCTCGGCGGTTACAGACATCAGCATCCGATCAATTGCAAATTACAGTCGAGCGCGCAGGGCGGGGTGCACGAAACGATACCTGATCAGGCAATGCCTACACGTGTGTGGAGATAAGTTCAACCACAAAAACAGAGGTCCAGTGGCCGGCATAATGGGAGACAAATCTCCATTCGATTCAGGCGACCTGTTTACCCATGGACCTGCTGCCAAAAGCGATGCATCATGTCTGAATTACAGGTCACTCGTTAAATCCTGGTCATCAACACACCCACGGCGCCCGCTTTGTGTGGCGGCCCGGCGGACGCTGCGCAACCGCCGTGAGCTCGACTCACCAGTCGACCGCGGAGGAGGCGTCCAGCACCACGATGATGTGCCGGCTGTAGGAGCTGCCGTCGGTGGGCGGCCGCACGGTCAGCGCCACACGAGACCGCCCCTGCCACAAACGCACCAGCCAGCCATCACACGCCTCTCCTGCAGCTAACAGGCGCATTTGTGTACCAAATAACGGAATATAGTACGCAGCGATAGTTCCAGTGCGTCGTCGGAGTGTAGGGTGCCGATTCCTCAGCAGCCTATGAAAAATCACAGCGAAACGTTGGCAGCGCTTATCCAAATCAGAAATGCACTACACACATTAAAATGAAGCACGGGAAACGATCTTAAAGCCATCGACAGATGTGAAAACACGCACCTGAATGCACAAGCAAGTATCGCTAGAATACGCACGCGACGGCTTACGGGGTGCCTATCTTGTAATTGTCTGCAAAATAGCTTTTAATCCTCCGGCTTAGTAGTCGCAGTAACAGGGCTTTAAGGTGCACGTCAACCGCGGTGGTTATTTGTACCAAATTATCTGGCTTAGTCATGTCTGCACCCACCTGGCCCAAACCTCACACACTGATATCGCCACGTGAGCGCCACACTGACAGCATGCGTGATAATCGTATCATATGGCGAGGACTATCACGTCGCCAGCCTTTGCTATTGCGACATCGATGTGTGAAACTACAAACGCATTCAGAGATCTTCACACACAAAACAGAGCTCCACACATTCGCCAGCAGCCCTTACCTAAAGCCGAGGGCTCGTGATCTTGCGCCTGAAGCCACGTCTTCGAGAATCGGTGGTGAGGAGGGTCAGGATTGGAGTGGTTTAACTGGCATCGAAAGGACAGCCTGTCCTGAAAATTATGTTTTAGCCGAGCAAACATGGAACTTACATTTTACGGACAAAATGACAGTGGAAAATGCACGTGACAGTGACAGGAGTGGCTGCATCTCTGCGCGGTCCAGAAAAAGGTTACACCAAGCATACAGGTGCAGGGGACTGATCATTTTGTCACGTGAACTTAGCAGACCGCAAAGCAAGAGGATTAGAGACCACAGACGACTGCACTGGGCGTGCAGCTGGAGTGGAAACCCGGAGGGCTGGTGAGAACGACACATACTGAGTGGAAACCCGGAGGGCTGGTGAGAACGACACATACTGAGTGGAAACCCGGAGGGCTGGTGAGAACGACACATACTGCAATGTGCGGACGACCAGGAGGAGGGGGGACGATGGCAGGAGGGCTGGACTGGACGGGGAACCAAGATGGCCGGGTGGGGCCCGGGCAGGAGCCGGGCGGGAGCCGGGCGGGAGCCGGGCGGGGGCCGGGCAGGGCCGGGTGGGGTCGGGTGGGACCGGGCAGGGGCGGGGCGGGGTGTGGCGGGAGCCGGGCGGGGTCGGGTGGGACAGGGCAGGGGCGGGGCGGGGATCTGGTGGGGCCGGGCGGGGCCGGGCGGACCTGTGGGCGGCCTCACCTGTCGGCCAGCCTGTCTGGTGGCCAGCCGGATGACGTGCACCTCGTGTCCGGCCGGCGTGACGCGCCGGCTGAAGCAGCCCCGCGATGGCGCGCGCTGGTAGTGCAGCGCCGAGATGTCGGACGAAGCTAGCCGGCCCACCACGCACAGCTCGGGCCCTGCGGCACAGCCGGGCCGCGTTACACCGGCTGCACTGTGCCGCCCTGGTGGTCCGAGTCCGAGCCTACGGCCGGCACACATCGTGACGGCAGTGAGACGCCTGATCGGCAGCAGATCGGGGCCAACGGTCACCGCACACATAATCGCCTCCCATCGCTGTTCCGAATGTATGCCTCAGCACTGCCCATGGGTAGGTTCCCCAGTCAAATAAAAGGACAGTTATTCGTAAGCACAGCTTCAAGTTTTGACATGCCACATCAAAATCGGCTTTGCGACTCAAAACTCTTCGCAGCCTCACTACATCTCTGCACAGCTGCAATTGGCGTGCGCTTGCACCGAGCAGCAGCGGCGATTTGTTCATGACTGGAGAGGCTGAGTCAGGCTGAGTCAGTCACTGTAGCTGGATGGATTCCTGGGGACCGCGTCTGAGCTCGAGCGCATCCCCTGTCATCAGTCACAGCCCATCCTTGTCAAGGCCAAACCGCCCACACTTCAGCGACTCGAACCCACACAGCCTAGCGTGATGGCATTGGACGGCACACACTTTAATACACTGAGCTTTATAAGGGGGATCGTCATGGCCATCAAATACCACCCAAAGAAGGCAAGCTTTGTGTGCTATAACCTTATCTTTTTCCTCCACTTTCTTACAGTTGCAGCGAACTACTTGGACCCCAATTCAAGATGGGGCCGAAATCACCATTGGGGTCCAGTGCCTACACATTATAATACAAATGGACATCGCTGGTGCCCAGCCGCGAATCCCTTTGAGCTCATTTAGCGCAAAATATTGTCGTTTAAGCTATTGATGTCAATAACTAGAGGCCTATATTTCCCAGCTGAAAAATGGCTGTTAATGGGTCAATAACCAGGTGCGTCTCTCTCCAACTCCCCGGTTCGCTGGTTCTTAAAAGATTTAAGCCCGTATAGGTTCGTTAAATCAACATAGAAAAGTCGAGCAAATTTCGTTAAATTGATTTTGGGAGCACGCTAGAAAAAGTCGCGACCACACAAGTTGTAGGACAATGGACAACATGCGAGATCCTTTTATACCAGTAAGCTGAACACAACTCCGAGTCTATATCCAACTCAGCCCCAGCCTTCAAACTGACGGCAGAACAAAATACTAAGAGAAAGCGAGACGGTATCGATGGCCAACGGGAGCACTGGTCATGATCCCTTATCTACGCTGTGGCTGACCAAGATCCACAAGCTTTACAAACGCCTCACAAACCGACTGCAATGTCAATCATGGCGGATGCTTTCAAGGTCATTGTGACTGCCGCCAACTCCCTTTTGTTATCATAGCAACTCCACAAATGGCTAACGACGTGACCAACCACACTTAGACATCTGTCTACAAAAAAAGGTTTTCAAACAGGTGGAACGACAAAACTGGTACGCTCCATGCTCCCCGGATCTGTCCACCCAACCAGAGTCCTTGGTGGTCAGGTAGTATATGATACTCACCATCCGCCGATAATGGCTGGGGCAGCCACAGAGTTGCCAGCCAAAAGTACCAGAGGGCGGGCCGCGTCATGCTGACACCTCACGCTCAGTCAGGGCTCGGCACGGCATCTGGGGGACAGTCGGCATCAGCGCGGCCGCACGGCGTATCCTGCAGCGCGTCACTGCGCGGCCCAGAACACCTGTCCAGCACAGCACTCCGGAGCACATCCACCCAGAACATGTTCACTACACAGCACATAATCCTGCAGGCCCCCCCCCCCCCCTCTCTCTCTACATGCCGGGTGGGTTGAGTTACTGGGTTACACCCAGAAGCGATCAATCTGATTTCCTCGTGGCTCAGCGGCTCTAAAGTAGTAAATCCTTCGTGCAGCTATTAAGGTTAACAACGACGTCACGCGACAGCTTAATGCCATTGAAATTCAGCCCAGCACTTGGCCGGCCGTGACACCTATAGAGGGGAGGGGGACCATGCCACACCTCGCCGCTGGTCGCTATTTCACAATCTGATTATCGGAGGTCAGATCCGTGGCCGCCTGGAAAGAGGAGGGGGACCGTACTGCACCTCCCCGCTGGTCGCCATCCCAGGATCTGATCATCGGAAAGGGCCAGATCTGTGACGCCTGGAGGGGGAAGGGGGCCACACCACACACAACCCCGCTGGTCGCTTTCCCAGGGTCTGATCATCGGAGAGGGTCAGATCCGTGACCTGGAGAAGGGGGGACCATGACGCACCTTTCCGCTGGTCGCTATCCCAGGTCTGATCATCGGAGAGAGTCAGATCCGTGACCGCCTGGAGAAGGGGGGGGGGGGGCATAACGCACCTTTCCGCTGGTCGCTGTCCCAGGATCTGATCATCGGAGAGGGTCAGATCCGTGACCGCCTGGAGAAGGGGGGGGGGGCATAACGCACCTGTCTGCTGGTCGCTGTCCCAGGATCTGATCATCGGAGAGGGTCAGACTCGTGATCGCCTGGAGAAGGAGGGGGGACATAACGCACCTTTCCGCTGGTCGCTCTCCCAGGATCTGATCATCGGATCAGGAAACTGGTGTCCGGGACAAAAAGTAAAATATAAATAAGGACAGTTGACAGAAAAAGTCAAACGAAAAAGCCAACCAGGATAGAAGTCCGAATTCAAAAGCCAAAAGAGGATAAAGTGGATGGAGTTAGAAATCAAACCGGAAAAGGTCAGTGACAAGAAACCGACAGTGATAAAACCAAGCGGAATCAAAGCCCACATTGGAAAAAATGGCCAGGCAAAGGGTCAACGATAATACGAAAAAGAATAATACGAAAATACGAAAAAATACGAAATACGAAATACGAAAAGACCGAAGGGACAAAAACTGGCAGGAATGGAAGCCAAACTAAGAAGTGTTAGGCAACAAAGTCAAGAGTCGAATATACGTAAGGAGAGTCAAAAGAAAAAGTCAAACACCAAAGCCGACAAGGATCGAAGTCCGAGTACGAAAAGCCGAACGTGTATAAATTAGATCAAGATAGAAGTCGGGTGATAAGAAGCCGAGAGTGATAAAAGCCACGTGGGATCGAAGCCCAGTTTGAAAAAAAAATGGACAGGAAAAGAGTCAGCAGGGATAGATCTCAAAACAGAAAAAGACAAAATACGAAAAGACGGCAGGGACCAAAGCTGACAGGAATGGAAGCCAAACCAAGAACTGTCAAGCAACAAAGTGAAAAGATGGCGTGCACATGAGACCCGAGATCCAGGCTAAGGTCACCGGAAACTGCGAGAACCAGGATCTTACCCGAAATTGTTGTCAGAAACTAGAAGGTATCCACACAGTGCACTTCCAGTAAGCAGACTGTACTCGTCAATATCACAGATAAATATGTAATGTATTTTGATAACAGGCAGCATGCCTCCAAGGAAGCTGGCAAATCGGAACCCAGCCCAATTGTTTATGACTGAGCCAATGAGAGACAAAAACTGGGACCTGGCGTCTTTCTCATTAAAAACCATTAGGCACCAGAAACCAGGGTTTATTTTAGAAATGTGGCATTTTGAGAAATCACTGGGAACCATGAATCAGAGCATCATTTTTGTAAACGAACTAGGGGAAAACGTGAGCCATGACGAGGTGTTTGTGAAGGGGCAAGTAGGGACAAGGAACCAAGGACTGGCGTTTGAGTAAAACCACGAACCCGGTATTAGGTTCTGGTGTTTGTGAAAGAACCAGTGGGGACCAGGAGTCTATAATTTTACTGCGAAAAAGAACAGTGCGGACCAGGAACCAAGATGCGCCGTTTTCAAAACAACTCATAGGTTCAAGAAACCACGGGGTCAGGCTGCCCAAACATCCGAAATCTCGTTATCAGGAGGGTGACCAGGAACTCGGGAGAGAAGCCGAGGACAAGGCACGTGACTGTCCTGGACCACGACCAACGAAAACAAAAAACAAAAGAACAACACGGGATTCGCGACGTGCGCCGCCGCTTTACGCCGCCTTCTGGCTCTCCTGCTCGCTACCGTCCCATCCAACGGCTCGAGAATGTTCAGGAGCATAGGTAGAGGCTAGCGGGGCGCTCGCGGCTGATCATCTACCTGGTGTTCTCAGTGCGCCTTGCACATGGCTCGGTCGTGAAAGTACGAAGGCTGGCTGCCGCCAGGAGCGTTTGCCGGACGAGCGCGGGCGGGCAGAGTTTAGATGGCCCACGGCGCGAGGTGGACCCACGGGCGCAGAGTGCGCCCGAACGTTAATAGGGCGGACCATTTCAACTGAGCTGGAAATCTGAGACTCATGGGGCTTACAGGGAATGTTCCACATCTGAAGATAATAAAGCAAGCATCAGATGTGGAAAATATTCTCGCTGATAACTACTGGAGTACCCATCCTTCGAAGCTGCACAGACTTCTCTAGACAACATAATGTCTCCATTCCATAACATGCTCTTCAATACGTTATTGTTTGATTGCGCCATGGAACGCTTGTATAACGTTGAGGTACTGCCAAACTCACCGTGCAAAACTGCCACCCTAGAACTACCTTTAGTACTTTAATTTCACGAGAAGCGGCCCTGGCGATGCTGGAAGCGTACTGAGCCAAATATCGTGATGTGGTCGTCTTCTTTTTATTTACCCTTTCTAGTGGTGTTTTTGCTAACTCGTCCGTGAGTTTAACATGCTTGTAATCACACGCTCGTTTGCAGCGCTTTATTAAGTTATTCGATTATAACTCTTATTTCCGCAATAACTAACAGCCATGTCCAGCACCTTATACTATGCAGTACAAAATGTACTCGTGATTAATCCATCCGTCCCTCTTCATCCTCTATCTTGCTTCATCCTGCACCCTCGCAACAGCCCGCTTGTCTGGGGCAGGCTGCATGCATCAGTCAAGCGTGGGCCAGGAGCACCGTGGGACGGGTGACCCCGACAGGGCGTCCAGCGCACATGCGCGGGTCAAAGCTCGGTGGCTGCTCTCAGAGGATGTTTTCATGCGGCGTGGAGAGGCAACACGAGCGTCCCTTCAGCCCGACCACGCACCCCTTTCCGATGTCTCCAAATGCCCTGCGGGGTGGTTCCCGCTCGAGTTGCGCGCACGACGTTGCGCCAGACTTTCTGCAGCTTTGGATACCCCAGTCTCCCACCCAATATTGAGGAGTACGGTACTGTTGGCAAAAGGAGAAAAACAATGCACTACGTCAAACGAGCGTGGCCGAAAACAGAACAGAGATTTCAGTGGTGTTTTCGGAGTAAATCGCCTCGCATTTGTCTGCGTGCGCTCCCCAACTCGTCGGCTGGATCTATCAGTGGCCAACGGTCATGAATGAGCAGGGGCCGGCGCGGTATCGTCTGCCGGCCGCCAGCGCCGACGCCGGCGCCGCCTGTTTATCTTCTCCTTCCTTTACAGCGCATCGGTCATCATCGAGTGCCACATGCGCGCCCGGCCGGCGGGCCGCGGTGTCGACTATTGCATCCACGCGCATCTGTGCTAGCCCAGCTGGCTGCGGCGCGCCACGTGGACGGTACCGCCCTAGCGTGCATCCCAACGGCAATCTAGCCCAAAGGCCGGAAGCCAATATATGTAGGTGACAGCGGTCGGGGGTGAAATTTTGCTGAAGCCCAACCAAACTGCCTCGCCGCAATACCACATAGGTTGTCTGAAAGTAGCCCAACCTCAACAGGATCTCGTGGGGAAGGTCAGGATCACTGACTCAACGGTGGATGTATTCATGAAACACCACCTCTCTCACGTCATCATGTTCAAAAATTAAGCGGCCAGCGCGCGTGCGGAGCACCCCCGCCAGTGCACCCAGCGCCAGCGGCGGGCGCCACGCCGCCAGCCGCCTCCGTTCCCACATGGCGGCTGAACGCGCCGCGCACTCACCGCATCCCGTGGCGCGGCGCACCGCTGCATCCCGCACTGACCGCGCCCGTCAACAAACGCGACGCCCCGACATTCGCAAGGGTCCACTGCACGGCGCGGCACCACCGTACGCCCTACAATCACCACCATCGACACACGACGCAAAAACTGCGCACTCGCCAGTCGATACTCGCTCCTGATTGGTCGGCAGCCAAGAAGGTCAGAGCCACGGCGGTAAGTGAAGGACCTCGGAGAGAGCGGCCACGCACAGCGCGTCTCCGGTGCTCTGTATGGGCCGCGACGGGCGCTCGAGCCATGAGCGTGCACGACGCCACTCTACCTCTCGGGGATTCGGTAGCCGCCAGTTCGGCCTGCTGATTGGTTGAACGAGCGATGGTGGTGCGCCGTGTACACCATTCGCCATGCGCTTCGCGGGATGGTGTTCAGCTGGAGTGATGCAGTTAGGCCGGGGGAGGTCGTGGCGTGGTGGTGTGCTCCTGGCGGTCGCCCCGTAGAAACGAGGATAAAAACATTGAGCAAAAACGGGGTGAATGAACGTCCATTCAGGCTGGAGGCTGATCAGCTGACTGCATGTGGGCATGAGGACAGGGAACAAGGTCGATGTTTTGGGGCAATACTTTTGGTCAAACCATGACAGTACCTAGGCCAAGGGTTGTTTTCAGGGGGATGGGGCACATGTCAAAGCTTTCCACGCAATAACCCTAGCCCTCATTTGCCGTTGGATCATTAACCGAGGACTGGTAGGGGGAGGAGGGTTGATGCAACCTGCCGTTTCCACATGAAAAGATAGAGCCTTGCGGAAACGACCCGATAGATTGGTTTCAGCGAGGTCTCGCCACTAGTGATGCATTCTATGCCCGAAGGTCAACAACTCCCTCCACTGAGCCAGGTGATTTTTTCCCTTAGAAAGCGAACTCTCGGATTGACATGTCCACATTTTCGAAATAATGTCCCCTAACGCCATTAAACGTAAACGGGTGTAAGTTCCGTCAAATTCTAAGCCTACTGAAATGCAGCTTTATGATGTTTTGAACACGCAACCATGATGTATGCCTTCGTTGCTGTGACAAGGCTGGCCCGCCGTGCGATAGGCGAATTGGTCTGTCGCCGCCCGCCTGCCGTGTTCCACCGTGCAGCGTTACAAAACGCTGCTGTTAGAGACATATTTTTGATGCCAAAACATACGTAATGAATACTGCAGAGGACAGCGGAGGGCTAAAATAGGTTCTCAGTCAAGAATTTCCGGCTGGTCACCCCTTCAGTGAAAAATATTGTATGTGTTCCTCATACGGGGTCACATCTCGTAGCGGACTTCGCCGGCCGTCACTGGTGAAATAATCGTGTGGATATCGTCTTGGTTTGGTATGCCAGTCACCTGTTTTAACTAAATCAACTGGTCATACATCCACACATATCCATCCATTCGGCCAGTTAATTATCCAGTTATCGTCAGGTACTCTTGAGTTCTGCGGACTGGGCGGTGTTCAGCTTTCAGCCATGCGTACGTTACAACCAGATGTTTTCTCTCGGATTCCTTGGGATTTGGAGCGGTCTCTTCTTATTTCGATTCTAGCTCTCTCCCACTGAGCTGACTGAGAAGAAAGAATTTTACTCGTAATGCCATTGCCTTGCGTCAGTTGTTCTGTAACGCTGTGTCTATTATTATTTGAGATTTTAAGAACTACAAGACCCGTTTTAGCTCCTTTACGGGCAGCGCACGTAGTGCTAACTCTGGTTCCAATGTGGCTAAAGCCTCGCGTGTCGACATGCTGGAAGTTGCCTGTATCTGTTGCTTTCTGCTGCCGCATTGATCAGACCGTTTCAAAGCACCCTCAAAAGTCAACTGAACTCCGTGGCGTGTTGGTCTTAAATGGGCATGAAGTTAAAACGTTTTATTGTCGCTTGACGCTATGTTTGCCATAAAGTGACAAGCTATTTGTCGTGTATTCAGGGACGCAGCTTAAGTCTCGGTTAGGGAGGCACAAGGTGTACCAAATCATCCAAAAATACGGTATATAGTTAACTTTCATTTCAGGGGGCAATTTTCCCTGCTATGTTGTTCTTTTCCCCTCTTTGTTACTCAAACAGAAGACAAAAGCCACCGGGAGTCACATATGTGCTTGCATTCTGATGTCAATAAAATGAAGGAACAGGATGCTGAATAAATGCATGCAATAAGTCAGCGGCGCTCAGCAATGGTTCAGTCTCTCTCTCTCTCTCTCTCTCTCTCTCTCTCTCTCTCTCTCTCTCTCTCTCTCTCTCTCTCTCTCTCTCTCTCTCCTCTCTCTCTCTCTCTCTCTCTCTCTCTCTCTCTCTCTCTCTCTCTCTCTCTCTCTCTCTCTCTCTTCTTGTCCATGGGCAATTGTTACCAACAATTGTTGGTGCATCACGTATAATTTTGTTGTTGAGAAAACACGAGTGCAAAAATTTTCATGTAGAACGTCCAACAAGACCCGTCATACTGTCCGTGATACCCGCTAAATGACTCGGTGCTTTACGCCCGCGCCTTGCGGACCGGCAGGCTCTAAGTGGCAGCAATACTCTAGATCTTTTTGGAGGCATGGGGACAAAGCCTGTACATATTACTCTAGGCGTGGTGTGACAGGAACTACATTTTTTTACATCAAAAACAAAAAGAACCTTTTCACAATAGTTGACATAATACATCACCCCTCCCCCCTCTCGTACAAGTTTGCCAAGGGACCTAGTTCGCGCCCGGCTACCACCAGGCGATGGGCGGTCGCCTGGCTGTCGATGCGGCGGCAAGGTGCACCCGAGCGGGCGAGAGATGTCAGTGAAAAACCGCTGCGTACAGCAAACGCACGCCACCATTGTAAAAGCTGAATAGGACCAGGATGGAATAAGCGGTCATACAACAGCAACTGCGACCGTCCTATCATCGCCCCCCGTCTGAATTTTCACTTCTAAACACAGTGAAAACCCGAGCCACTGAACCCGTTTACAGATGGTCTGGGCGGTTGGCGGCCAACCGGTTGATAATTGAAAAGTCCAACAACGGACCTGGCAAGTTAGGCGCAAGGCACCCAAACTGGTACAAACGTAGCACTTGCATATATGTAGCAATGTCAGAGCTGTACCGACCGTCTCATCGCTTTCGGGTCCCAACTCCACTCGTTCTCAGGTGCAACTGCGGCTGGATTGCACCAAGTCCAATAAAGGACCTCCATCCAGGCCAGATACATGACCAGCCAGAACGGCACAAACGTGATATGTGTGCATGCATGTGACGTATGGAGACATCTGTCGACCATTCTGTCGCTTTGATAGTTGAACATGTCATGGCACAAGTGGTCTGGGTGGCTAACGGCAGACAGGGCGATAACTGGCCTACGTCGAGCAACGGACCTCCCGGCAAATTAGAGGTAAGACCGACCAAACTGGTACAAACATTACATGTGTGCATGTAGGTCCAAATGTCAAAGATGCAACGACGGTCTTGTCGCTTACAGGTCCAACTTCACTCTTATGGGGCGCAACTTCGGTGTCATATGCGGTCTCGCATGTAACCGCAGAGAGGTGCGTTACTGGATACGTCGCGATTTTCGACCTCACGGCCGCCTGTCACTCAGAACATTTCGAATGATAGCTTGGCAGCACTATTCCCCGAATGCGATAGAGTCGTCGAAACATGTCTCCACATTTCTCATGCGTGCGCACCTGCCATGTTTGTGCCGTTTTGGCCGGTCTTGCATTAAGCCTGCAGGAGGGTTCTATACTGGACTCGGAGCAATTTATCCGAAACGGCGCCTCATATTGTGTAAGCTGGGACCCGAAAGCCATGAGGCGATTGGCGCAGCTCTGGAATTTGCACACGCATGCACGCGTGCCACATCTGTATTAGTTTGGCCGGTCTTGCATCCAGCCTGCGCGGAGGTCCGTTACTGGATCTAGGTGAGTGAATCTCGGCGGCGTGACAGCCAGTCGCTCAGGTCGCTTTGACGGCGCAAATTCTACTATCTCAGTCTCAAAAGCCAACGAATACTGATCACAAGTTCTATCATTTTCACATTAATGTACACCTGTTACGTTTGTGGCAGTTTTGGCGGTTTAGCACCTAACTTGCAGGGAGTTCCGTTGTTGGACTTTCTTTGGAGCAGGTCACCAAAACGATAGAGTGGTAGAATAATGTCTCCAGATGTCACAATCGTGCACACATGTCACGCTTGTGACGTTTTGGCTGGTCTTGCATCCAGCCTGTAGCGATGTCCCTCACTAGGCTTGGATAAATCTAGCCGAAGTTGCGTCTCATGATGCGTGAGTTGGCAACCGAAAGCGCTAATACGGTTGATACAGCTGTGCCATTGGATACACCTGAACACAAGCTACATTTACACCAGTTTCGATGATATTTGCACTTAATTTGTTGGAGGATACGTTTTTGGACCGGGGACTATTTTTGGTCTGGAACCCGCCTGCGACACGCAGTACTTTTAATGCACGTGGGTTTTCACCGTGTTTAGAAGTGAAAAGTCAGACTGGGGGCGATAATAGGACGGTGGCAGATGCTGTTGCATGAGCGCTTATTCCACCCTGGTCCTATTCAGCTTTTACAATGGTGGTGTGCGTTAGCTGTACGCAGCGTTTTTCATTAACGTCCCGCGCCTGCTCGAGTGCACATTGCCACCGTATGCCGACCGGGCAACCGCCCGCCATCTGCTGATAGCCGGATGCGAACGAGGTCTCTCAGCAGACCTTTGCTGGCAGAATAAACGTGCTGTAATGCATGCTATTTCTCTTGCCCCTTACAACGTGTGTGGCCGTCCTGGCGTTAAAGGTGTGCCCCCGGTGACGTAACATGGTGATGTTCGCCGAGAAAATGCAAGAAATAGCTAGGCAAAACATTGCATAAAGTGTTTCTCTGCGCCAGGGTGCCTTCAGTTACCGGCTACCAAATATTTATAACAGCTGGAAATCTAGCCTACATTACACGTCTACTATATTTCTAGTTTAATCCCTGCATTTCTTGGACTGAACATTTTTCTCGGCATTCATTTACGTTACCTTGCTGTAGTGGGGGCCACATGAGCGCGCTCCTACGCATTTACGTAATCGAGCAAAGATCTGCCGCGTGTTGGGTGCGCCTGGATCGCCTGCGTTTTTCAACATTTTAGGGCAGCCCACGGTAAGGCATTTTGCTTTTTTTTGGTCAGCGTAAGGCTGCACGAACTTAAAAACTCAGGGTATAATACCGGACCACTACCCAGTGATGTTTATCTCGAGTCTGTTCGAAATTTGAGGGTATATTGGTGTTTTTGGTCTAGTCATTTTGCTCCCTACTTACGCTGGAAATATTAATTGAATTACTCTCAGTGAGCAATGTGAGATGGGAATGGCACTGTCCACAACCATCAACAGCACCCCTTGTCACTACCCACAACTGTAAGCAGGATGCTGCAAGTGGGCTATGATGGAAGCTTATCATCACCCTTGCATAATGCTTCCTTTCAGTACACCTGAGTGGCTCTGATGACCCTGCTCTCCAGCACATGGAAGGCACCTACCTACAAGGCTACAACCTTGCATGCTATGAAATGCAGCACATTAGTGAAGCACATGCTCACACACACACAGAAAAGCTCACACACACACACAGAAAAGCACACCCAAACTTTGCATGATCATGGCAGATCAGACTACAAGCAAGAAGTGGCAATGTAGTCCAGCTAGTTTTGGCCAATTGATTTCTAGGTCATCATTAAGAGCCTAGGAAAATGGTATAAAAACATCAAATGGTGACTGCTACCAGCTCAGTCAATGAAGATTGAGCCTTGGTATGCTCATGCATGCACCTGATACAATATCCCATTTCTGTCGCATTCTAAGTCATTTTTGCCTTAAAGAGTCTTGAAGAATTGTGTGTTTATCATTACCAGGTCAAACTGTGCTGATGTTTTAAAATCATTGCGCAAAACAATATCTTGGTCCACCATTCCTAGGTTATTAGTGTTATGGACAAATGCATGCAGTCACTTGCAATTATGATGTGTAATTATTATGAAAATATAAAATGTCATTATTATATTTTAAAGGTGAAACCATTCAATAATTAAGCTGCCTTGCTACCTCACTATTTATGGGATTTCATGTCTCTAAAAATACATTTATATGTAATGTGCTCCTTTGAAGTGAGGAACAGATGTTGATAACTATGGGTGTGCACCAAACTCTAAATACTTGTATTTCCAACAGACATGATCAAACAAATTTATATACTGTGTGCTAGTTTTGAAAAGAGGAACAGACATTGAAAACCATGGGAGTGCACCAAACTCTAAATACTTGGATTTGCAATAGATGTGTTCAGGTTTGTGCTGCAATCTTGCTGTCATGCTGGACATGTTGGATGCAATGTTTTTTACCATCTGGCTTACAGTCACAATTTTGAAAGTTGACAAGCAATTTGGGTGTTTCAGCCTTTTTTCAACAGGCAGTGGCATTTGCTAAAAACATGTCTGTAAAAAATTATGTCTACATTGTGTTCCAATGAGACCTACAAAGCATCTAAAACCCATAACATGATCATAACTGAGACCTTTGTGGTGCAATGCCTGCCTCCATCATAGCAAACTTGAGGAAAATTAATACACCACCTTTAACAAGGTGGAAGTCAATTTGCACCTATTTCAAGGAACTTTTAATGCATATGTTGATAAGTGTGCAGACCCAGAAATCAGGAGGCTCTTTACAGACCTACAGCTTTCATGGGAACTTTGGTATCAGAGCAATAGTTAGGATGACTTGTGCTTAATTCTGCTACAGCCAAATCAACTCCAGCTCTGGTTAACAGTGCACTAAGATGGCTATGTCTCTGTATCTGACTGGCAAAGCACAAGCTGGTGTTGGCCTGTGCTCCTACTGGCAATATAAATTTTTAATTTTGTGATTGACTTTGATGGAGTAGATTCTAGTCAAAACTTTCAGTCAATACATCATTGGTAGGCAACAAGGTCAATTAAATTTTGAAGATCTGGGCCTGTTCTTGATGGGGGAAATGCTGCCAGATGCTCTGCCCCTGCAGGTAATAACCTGTGATGTTCCACAGCTGTGTCATCTGTGTCATTACAAACACTTTGAGTAACCCCTCAACATGGTGGCTAGTAAAATCAGCTGCCTCCCAACAAACACATTTGATGCGCAGCAGGGATGTTGATGAGTCACGACAGTCAGATGTACTTCAGTGTACGAATGCACAAACACTTAAGGTGTGTTTCTCACAACAGCTGTGTATACAATAATGACTTACCTTAACAAATATATTATAGGCAGAGAAAGGCAAATCATTGCCTTCAACTCAGAAAGATGTCACATTGTTTCAAGCATTGCATGAGCGTAACCATATGCAATCAGATCATCCCACAGATCGGAAGGTCAGCAGGCACTGGTAACTGAATGCCCTCTGCCAGCTAAGATCATTGTGCTGGTATATTTAGATTGTCCATATGTTTTGTATGTTTTGTTACACATTGAAGAGTTTTGGTGTGTGTGGTTGCAAGCAGGGATACAGCTCTGCTCGGAGCACGTGTGCAGGGAGAAGTATCATGTGGTGACAAGTCGCATGAAGGAGAGTTCTACATATAGACACACAGACAAACAATATCCATGGAAACATGTGATATCAGGTTATGCAGTATATTTAGATTCCAAAGCATTCAAGGCATAGGTAAACTTTCCCACAATCATACTGTCCAGACAAACTATGTATGTTACATGATCCAGAAAGTGACTAACACAGCGGTGCACTTGCCGATGTAGCGGTTCTGGCCCTGCCAAAGCGCCAATGTCGCCTAAACAAAACAGAAAATTATGTACATGAAGTGGCTCCAGGACATGATCAGGAAGATGTCAAATCGCCGTTTCATATCTCTCAAGTTTTTTTGCTCAAAATCTCTAGGCAAAGCTGGCTCCTTATCATAACAATCATGGCTGGCGCAGTAGCAACCAGAAGCGTCCGTTGGAAGATCTGATGCCTGCGCCGCAATATCTTGCCGAGCCAGTGTCTCAGCACTCCATTGGTGACAAGTTTGGAACTTCAAAATCTGGGTCACACTAGTATCTGACAACACTTTGCAAGTATGTTGCCGTCGCGCGCGGTGACGCCATCGCGTGGCCAATAGGAGCGCGGCTACATGAAACCATCGCAGGCTTTGCAGCGAGCGCCGGCTCCCCGGGTGTGGTTGCAGCCATCGACGGGTCATTTATCTTCATGGATGCACCCAGCAAGGAGATAGCAGCTGCTCATAATACCCACAAGCATCGCCAAACAGTACATCTATTGGCTGCTTGTGATCACCGCGGCGCACTCACTGATGTACTTGCAGGGTTCCGAGATCCGCCCACGATTTTCGTGTTTGTTCGGAGGCCTCCCTCTGCTGCGGCCTCAAGGAGCATCGGTGGCAGGTTCTCTCATCTAACACACACCTCATCGAGGACAGGAGCTTTTCCTTTCCCCGGAGGTCATCACCCCTTCCCGTGACGACGATCACCTCAGCCCCACCCAGCGCCATTCAACAGACCATACAAAAAAACAGGCGTCAAAATTGAACGTGGTTTCAGCATGCTGAAAAGCAAACTGCAGCAGCTAAAGCATTTAGTAGTAGTAAAGAACTGGGGCAATTTGGCTGAGGTTATCATTGCATTGGTCATTGCACCACGCATCAATCATTGCATTGCATATCATGAGCACAGGGCAGGGGATGACATAGTGCTTGCAGAGCCCCACGAGGCAGATCCCGTGGAATGGACCGACAGAGGTGGGCTGTTGCTTTCTAGCATACAAAACCTGCAAGTTGCAGTGCATGGGCATCACAAGGCCACAGCACATGGCTGGCCACCTCATGGCAAAGATGATGATGCATGCAGCTTGCTCCAGTTAAATGCTGTAACGTGAAGATTGAGAAAGGTAAAAACAGATTGGAAAGAACAGTCAATTCATTACATTTAGATCAGCACAAACACACTTTGGGAAACTGACAGTTAAGGAGCAGCAGGGGTTGTTTTTGGAAGGAACATAGACTGAAAAGCTTGGAGACTCTCCACATCTAGAAAGACAACAATTTGTGCACACCCAGTTGCTGGGATTACTTTGGGCAACATACAGTATCACAATTCCATTGTGTGATTGCCTAGTGCATGTCAAACCTCATCCACAGGTGTTAACATTTGGCACATAACATTTTAAGAATCAAGAATTTGGCTGCTGTTATTGCTGCTGCTGCTGCCACTGCTTTCTATAATTGACCATTTAGGCTACATCATGAGCGTAAAACTTCATTCGAACAATATTTAAGTACAAGATAATGGCATCTATGACATGCGTCAATTTTTTTACATCTCACCCACCTTGTCGAACACAGCAGACAAAGCCATGGCCATAGTGGATGTTTCATTGGCAAAGTATCCATATATAATGGCCACATTAAGAAGGTTCAATGCAATTAAGATAAGGACAGGCCATAGCTTGATGTGTACAGAACAAATTGCTCAGAATTATGCAAACAACCTTTATCATCAATAAAAATGTTTAACTGACAATGTTTTACTCCTGTCTTGTACTCTCACATTATTTAATACCACTTGCATTTTATCATTGAAATTAACCTCACATCCCTGTTACCCAATAATAAGGTATGCTGAAATACATACCAGTGCTTAATCTGTTGACATAAATTTTAGGTAATGTCACCATGACCCACTGTTTACCATCAGGGTTCCAAAACTCCACCATCCCCATGTTGTTCATAATCTGTCAGGCATGCAGTGAAGGTACAGGTCAGTGAAGAAGTGACATTGAAGATAAGTGCAACCATACCAATAATGTAATTTTCATGCAGCATGACAATCATGCTTACAGATCACACAACTGTAAGTTTGCTTTGTGAACCTGTATCAACCCTTGCCTGTGCAGTCTGGCAATTCAAAATAATAAATCAGAACTATGAAACAAATCAGCTTGCATTACAGGAATACTTTCACTGATAATGCAGTAGCACCCAGGCAAAGGAGTTAAGTAACAAGGCATAAAAGTGTGTGTTTGCAATCAAATCACTAAGCAAGCACTGATGGCTGACACATAAGTGTACCTACTGCTGTGACCTGCAACCCCTGACAAACTATCATTAAGTGAAAGCAAATAAGTCTGACTAATGCACTTGTCAGCCAACGGTAGTACACTACTCTATGGCAATAGCGTAGCTTATAAATGGCAGATCTAGGGGGCTCGAGGAAGCCCTCCACATTCACCCTGTCTCATCCGCAAATGCGCCGTGGGCGTTGCTATGTAAATAACCACGAGTTACCGCACTTACTTTGCCTCTTGGCCAAGTAAGAATTAGGCTTGAGCCGTGACGTCATAGGTAAGTCGGTAGTTACGTCATCCATGGACTGGGCTTACTCGAAGTAAGGAATGGGCTTTCATTTGGTCATAAAGAACAAAGCCCTTAGACAACTTTCAGGGACATGATTCTGACTTGATGCAGCATACCCTCAATAGATTTTGTAGCCTACTTTTTCCACTGAAGTGAAAAACAGGTATGTTTGTGTCTGTGTTATTTGTCATGCCAAAAGTGTGCTCCGGTCCATGTTAAAATGATGGCAGATAGTTGGTCCTGCATGGGATTGATTCGCAGGAACTGAAAATAACACTTCTCCGTCGTAGTAGCAATGATGAACTGGCCAATATTTACTGGTTACGGTCATAGGAATTACATATTATCCTGTTGTTTTGGAATGCACTTTGTGAATATTGTCCAGTTGCCGGTGAGCATTGGTAGATACTGTCCTGTCAAGCATTCTTCTGATATGTATCGGTCCTAAGCTCTGATGGAAGAGAACTTGCACAACGTGATTGGATGCATTCTGGTGTTAATCTCATGTTGAAGATAATTGACTTGTGGCTACATTTATAATGATGTCATTGTAATATCTGATTGCCGAAGTTATTTGCTGCTTGTAACCACAAGCCTGTAGCAGTACCTTGTGTGTTGTGTTGGTGTGGTGTATGGCAGTTGTTTAGGGCGCCTACGCGCCAGGCAAGTGGCAGTTGCGCGGGAGAGTTGGCCTTGGGTGGTGGCGCGTGACGGGGGCGCGACGTGTTCGGATGCCTCGGACGTTATACTATTGCTATTGTTGTTATTACCGAGATATTGGCAAATACTCACGGTAACACCTGACTTAGTGTTTGGTCGGGCTGCGAGAGCGGACGATACTACAGTTAGTCATTTATGAAATCATATTTGTCATCATGCAGCCATGGGACCACTGCTGAGTTTTGGCCATTGGTTGTCACTGGTCATGCTAGCCACCTCAGACCATGTGCACCGGTTGATGGCCCATTGGGCATGACTGATCAGGCAGGCTGCCTCCGAGCCGTGTGCAGTGGTTGGCGGGCGTTGGATGTGACTGATCAGGCTGGCCGCCTCTAAGCTGTATGAAGAGGCTGACGGGCCATTGGATGTCACTTATCGGACTGGTCGTCTCTGAGCCGTGTGCGGTGGTTGACGGGCCCTTGGATGTGACTGATCAGGCTGGCCGCCTCTAAGCTGTATGAAGAGGCTGACGGGCCATTGGGTGTCACTGATCGGACTGGTCGTCTCTGAGTCGTGTGCGGTGGTTGACGGGCCGTTGGATGTGACTGATCAGGCTGGCCGCCTCTGAGCTATGTGAAGGGGCTGGCGGGCCGTTGGGCGCGACTGATCAGACTGGCCGCCTCTGAGCCGTGTGAGGGGGCTGGCAGGCCGTTGGGTGTGACTGATCAGGCTGGCCGCGTCTGAGCCGTGTGAAGGGGCTGACAGGCCGTTGGGTGTGACTGATCAGACTGGCCGCCTCTGAGCCGTGTGAAGTGGCTGGCGGGCCGTTGGATGTGACCGATCAGGCTGGCCGCCTCTGAGGGGCTGGCGGGCCGTTGGGCGTGACCGATCAGGGCGGCCGCCTCTGAGCCATGTGAAGGGGCTGGCGGGCCGTTGAATGTGACCGATCAGGCTGGCCCCCTCTGAGCCGTGTGAAGCGGCTGGCGGGTCGGGTCGGCGGTCGGCGACTGATGCCCCGCCCGTCCGCAGAGTCGCTCCAGCATGGCGCTGACCCCGCTCCGAGCCATGTGTAGGAGCCTGCCGACGCTGCGGCAGCAGGTGCCAACGCTGACGGCCCAGTACCATGCCAAGGTCAGTTCAGTGGCCGCCGGCCACCGCCCGGGACTGCCTCCAGCCTGGAGAGCTAGGCCCACCAATTCGTCCGCTGAAATAACGGCGCTGAACTGTGCAGTTCTGCGACGCGGCTCACCCTGACGGGCGTTCACCGTCGAGTAAGGCCTACGAGCAAGGCCTCAGAGGTCTTCTTCACTTTTCCGGAATAAGCGCTGAGCAGTTTGGAGCTCAGTGCTAAAATATCAGATGCCGGGGTCACCTGACTTCGGCATGAGATGGTAGAATTTAGAAATGTCTAGTCTGGATGGTTGGTGTTTGTGGCCTCTCCCTAGGTTATACTTCTGACATTTTGTGAAAACGTGATAATTAAAGCTTATTTTCTCCTCAGACAACGTTCCAAAGATGTCTCCTAGCCTTCTCTCCTCATTTACTTTACCTTGAAGTGCACTGATTTTGCTCTGGTAGCTTATATAAGGTCATGTCGTCCCAGGTCAATCTTGGTCAAACCTAGGCCTTTGTGACCGGATTTGTTCGTTTGAAGGCATATGATTTGAGCCTTGATGATACATTTTACAGCGTTGGAAGGCCTTTCTAGCGTTCACCTCTTCGACCTGACATGATATATGATTGGTGAAATTTGTTGGTGTCAACTAGTGGTTATCTGATTGAGTTGTCTAAGAGCTATTCAATGGCGTGCGTTCAGGGGCGTTACGAGAATCGGTGAGGGTGCCGGCGAGTTGTCAGAAGGTGGGCAGGATGGGAAGAGTCCAGCTAATTTAAAAAAGTAAAACCATTAACACAACATAATCGTTGCCGCTGCCAGGAAGGGGGGGGGGGGGGGGCGGCGGCAACGTAAAGCTCTAGGGGAAAGGCAAAGCCTCTGAATTGGTTACATGGTCGGCACCGTGTCAGCATGTTTGCCTGCAGCGATTTCTGGGCAAAAATTGTTGGCTTTGGTCTGCTGCTCCGAATGGACTCTCCGTTGTGAGACCGTCGTGAGTGCGAACGAAACCTTGTTAGGTTTGGTCTTTGGTCTGCTGCTCCGAACGGGCTCTCCTTTGTGGGACCGTCGTGAGTGCGAACGAAACCTTGTTAGGTTTGGTCTGCCGTTGTGAATGGCCTCTCGTTTGTTGTACTCGTCCCGAGGAGCGAGGGAGCGGTAGCGTACCTTTAATCAAGTGCAGCCCTCCCAGGCGTCACTGGTCGGGCGGCGGCGGCATCAGGCGCGTGCCCCGCCCGGCCGTCGGCGACCAGCCGTGACGCTGTGACGGCACCGCGTCGTCCAAGCCAGCCGTTTCCGTGTCCGCAGGTGATTGACCACTACGAGAACCCGCGCAATGTCGGCTCCCTGGACAAGGACGACAAGAGCGTGGGCACTGGCCTGGTGGGCGCGCCCGCCTGCGGGGATGTCATGAAGCTGCAGATCAAGGTTAGGGGGCAGGGCGGCACCGGCCGCGCTGGCAGGGCACAGAAACGTGGCGCCGGGCCGGCGTGATAGTTATGGACAGAAGCCCTAGCATACGTTCGTGCTTTTCACATTCGGAGAAAAGTGTGATGATTACTAATCTGTTCGGCGCCGTATGCCTGAAACTGCGAAAAATGCCGGGGATCGTATGGTGCTATGCAACTGAACAAGAAGCATCAGGCATATCAGTATGAGCAACTGCGAACGGCTTTGGTGGCTCTGAAACTGCGGCTCTGTCTGTTACGTGTTCTCGTCACTAAAAGCGCGTCGCAAACGAAGTTGGCTCCAAAAGATTTGTGCGCGGCTCGCGAAGGAAACGTAATATACGGTTTCGTGGTTCAGTATAAAAGCTATTGTGCTCTGAAATTCAACATCATTTGTTGTTTACTCGAAACAAATAACTGCACGCTTCTTCCTTGTTTCTTCTCAATTTTTACCGCACGCTGTTGACGCACGCACGTCGTCATACTTCGCGTGGTCTCGTGGTGTGTCCTCTCTGGTCTGTGTTTAACTATCGGTGGGTGCTCACGCTGTCGGAGGCGTACCCGGCATTGTCGCACGTTGCATCAGTGCTCACACCGCTTGTCTCCGTGCGCGCCAGGTGGATGAGAACGGGAAGATCGTGGACGCCAAGTTCAAGACGTTCGGCTGCGGGTCCGCTATCGCCTCTAGCTCGCTCGCCACGGAGTGGATCAAGGGCAAGACGGTAACTCGCCGAGTCGGACAGAGTCAGAACCGCCAGGGGTGGAACTTCGTAACTCTTTGAGGGATCTCTCCGCTATAATATTGAGCCCCCCTCCCTCTCCCCTCTCCCGATAAAGGGTCAGCCCCAGTGGCATTATGGAAGGAGGGGCGGGGCTGATCCTGGGCCTGCTCTCCATTCCAGCTGAGAGTTTCGCCCCCTCCCCGCGCCATTGCTTCTCACAAGGTTCCACCCCTGGTCAGAATGGTAACTCGTGGGGCGTGTGAAGCGCAGAGCGACAGTTGGTCCAACAGTTTAAGAGGACTGTTCGCCGAGTGGATTGGGCGCCAGACGGCAGGCGCACGGAGCCGCTCAATAGATGGCCGTTACTCAACGAATCCGGGCCGAAACGTCAGGCGCGCGGCACGCCGCTGGCGAGAGCAGGGACTCAGAGATCGAATAAACGTCAAGGTGGCGGCGCGGTGCGGCTGGACGCGACTCCGTGATGGAGTGCGCTTCGCGGAGTGTTTGGAGAGTGGGACCGCTTGCGTTTGACACCATTGGAGGGCTGCCACGTTCCGTCCTTTGATGGACATCTCACGTGGCAGGTGGCTGTGTTCGCAGAATTGGTACGGATGTGGTAGGAATGAAATGTCGAGACGCCGTTTTGTGGGTGTACGTCCCTCAGGCTGCTGCGTTTTAATATGGACATCCGGAGGAGCTTTGTTTCAGCGAGCGGCACCTTCTGCAGTGATATAAACTGTATTGAATTGGAGCGCGGGGCGTCGTGGACATATCGGTGCCCCGTCGGGTGTATTGCACACCACCTGGGACAGCCGGCCGGGAGTGCGTGTGGTGCGGTGTGGTCTGTGGTGACCTGGGCTGGTCCTGAACGTGGCCCCTACCCGCAGGTCGGCGATGCCGGCAGGCTGAAGAACACGGACATCGCCAAGGAGCTCTCCCTGCCTCCTGTCAAGCTGCACTGCTCCAGTGAGTGGTGACATCCTGGCTGCTGCAGCGGTCCAGCGTTGCAAAATTACTCTGTATTGAATTGTATTGAACAGTAATACCCCCAGTCTTTGAAGCCTTCCTGTGGGTGGAAGACAGCCTGGCAAGAACGAGAGAGTGATCTGTGGTACAGTTCAGTGCACACGTGATCTTGATGGTGTGTTTTGTTGACATCGCTTGTTGACATGTCTTACCAGTTTTTGTCCCGATCTCGGTCTCGCCTATGAGCTTGCGCGCCATCGCCGACATGCCAGTATGATAACGCTGGTTGCGTCTGACCGTAGCTGACCCACCAACAGCGGCAGGGTCCTCCCCCATGTAAGCGCGCTCGGGAGGACCGTGAGCAGCGCTGTCGGCGCTTTCGACCCGCTGCCGTAGGCTGTGTGCTGAGGCCAGCTGGGGTGTGTCCTGTCCCGCAACCCTCAGAACTGCGCTTCACAGTCAGGCGGTGCTGACCCCCGCTGCCGCCGCTCCCCAAATTCCACGTGCAATAACCTCCGGTGAGGTGGCGTCAAACCTATTAGTGTGACATTAGATCCATTAGTGTGACGTCAGTCGGCCAAGAGTTGCAATTGGAGAGACCAGCGTCCGCCAATGGCCCACGATTGTGGCCCGTTCACTGCCCACGGCCAGGGCCGGGCCGGCTGATGCGCCGACCAGCCAACAGATGGCCGGCGCCCGTCTGTCTCTGGACTCGGGTCAGCGCTTTGTCAGCTGGTCGATTGCTGCCAGCTCATCCAGGAGAAAAGGGGGTGGAAGGGCAGTGCTATCTGGCCATTGGGCTTGAGCCGAATAATGCCCGAATCCGAACGCGTCATATTTAGTGTGTATCTCGAGGTTTCATGCTGTGCTTTTTTGGTCGCTGCGGGTCCAACGAGGCGCCTGAAAACATGATAGGAGCATCTCATGCCGGGTAGTGGGGCTGTTCCAAGCATGGAGCCCTGCTTGTCGACGCCCTCGTCTGGCGGTGGTAGTAGGGAAGAGAGGGTATTGTTGAAAGGTGCCGTGGCTTCGGCGGCTCATCTCGGCTGCCGATTGTTGGTATCGGACGTAGCTGTGAAATGCTCCTAAAACGTCGGGATATTGTCGTGACGGGAAAGCCGGAGAGGTTCACCTCCGGTGAGCTCGTGTCCTGCCCACCGATACGATGTCGGTCCGCTCGTGTCCCGCCCACCGATACGATGCCGGTCCGCTGGTGTCCTGCCCACCGATTCGATGTCGGTCCGCTGGTGTTCTGCTCACCGATTCGATGCCGGTCCGCTCGTGTCCTGCCCACCGATTCGATGTCGGTCCGCTGGTGTTCTGCTCACCGATTCGATGCCGGTCCGCTCGTGTCCTGCCCACCGATACGATGTCGGTCCGCTCGTGTCCCGCCCACCGATACGATGCCGGTCCGCTGGTGTCCTGCCCACCGATTCGATGTCGGTCCGCTGGTGTTCTGCTCACCGATTCGATGCCGGTCCGCTCGTGTCCTGCTCACCGACACGATGCGCAGACAGAATAATTATGCGGTATGTGGGCTCCAGCAGTGTTAAATTGTGCACCACGTCCATACCGGCCATTTCCTAGGTCGCGGTCGGTTGTTAATTTGCTTTTAAGGATCGCGAATATTTGCTGCTACAGATATTGAAAACGTAAACATTGGTCCTGGATGTACCTCTGTGTCTAACGCTTCTGGCGGCCCGGACCTCAAACCACTTTCTCGCGGGATTGTGTTCTCGAGGCCTGCAGCTGCCACTAAGTTGCGGGCCGAGATGTGCATAGCTACGTTCCAGACATTCCCAGGCGCTTTTTGGCACCAACTTACACCCGACGACGGCCGGAGAAATACTGCCCGCAACATTGTTCGCAAATTAACGCCTCTGGCGAATACGTTATCCGGAGTCATTCGTATTTGTGGACCAACGCTTCGTCTCAAGCATTCCGCGAGACCATCTCTCCTCTACCTTCGTTATTAATGTGCGGTTCAAGCTTGTTGGGTCCGCATCCCACAGACCTGTTTGGCAAGTCCGTTGTCCATCCCGATATCCGCTGTGCGGTCTTCTCTGTCCTTTTTCTGCCTTTGCCTTCATCCGTTCTTTGCCTTTCCTGCTCAGCCCTCGCGCAACTGTGTGGTGCTGCTCTCTTGTGTGCGTCCGTGACCCATCAAAGTTTCTACGCCGACGTGCAATGGGCAAGTAAAAAAACAGAACTTTGCTGTGGCCCGCCCGCCTCGGCGGTCGGTGTGACGTAGATGATTGCAGTGCACTTTAGAGACGGGTGTTAGGATATGGCGCCGGGTGTTGGGTGGCACTCATCCCTCTCGTGTACTTAGGCGACCTTCCGCGCTTCAGCCTTGCAAGGGTTGGCGATTACCCGGGCAGAACCTCATGGACGCTCCTGCTGCTGCCCATCTGATGCCGCCGTCCTTGCCACCGGCTGGCAACTCTTTGTCCCACCCTCTGACGCCGCCGTCCGTTTCGCAGTGCTGGCAGAGGACGCCATCAAGGCGGCTCTCAACGATTACAAGGTCAAGCAGTCGTCTGTCAGCGACGCCAAGGCCGAGTAGCGCCGGCCGGCCGTTCCTGCTGTAGCGCCAGTAGGTTGTGACACCGCGGGAGAGGTCGCCCGCCGGCCGGCAGCAGTCGGACCCTGCTGTTGTCACGTGACGTGCTGGTGGCGCTGTCCACCGGAGCGAGGCCGCCTCCCTGCCTGCTGCGGCCGCTTGGGTCACTGGCCGCTGTCGGAGGAGATGCGCGAGAGCTCGGGCTCGGGGAGACGCAGCGTTGATGAGACTCGAGTGTTGTGGGGATGTTGGTTGCACGATGGGACTCCCCGGGAGTCTTATGGATTGCTACGGCCAGCATCGTGCTACGTTTTCCGTTGCAACGTGAGTAGTCATCATGTGATAGATAACGAGTATATTGGGCAGCGTGAGCAAGTGAAGCTGCAATGTTTTGTTGGTCTGTCGCATTTCAGCCTAAATACACGAGGTGGTCTGAGAACCGAGGGGCTTCCAATCGGTGCGTGAAATCAGCCCGCTGAAGCTCAGCTTACAACTATGACGGCGTGAATCGGAGCGGCACTGCGCGCAGCACCCTGGAAACCACGTGTGCCACACCGTCACGAAAATACTGTCGCCAATCCGTCCGAGCGTCACCTTATCGAGCTGATGGCGGGGGGGGGGAGCCGAAGCCTGTCAATCCTGGTAATACTTCGAAATGGGCTGCAAGTCCGCTGAACAGTATTGGCAGACCTGTCCCTACCTGCCTGTGGTCTGGACGTTATTGCACTCTGGCACAGATAATGCGGTACGTCATCTGCACGTTTCAGCGGTGCCAAAGGCTCAGCTCCTATTGGGTCGAAATGGGCCAGATTGTCGCATGTCTGCAAGTTGGTTCGTCAACCGGTAAAGGCACGAGAGCACAGTTGAAATGGGATGTGGCGTGCTCTGTCACAGCTGGTGTCGGCCGTGGTTTCCCACTGGCTATTGCATCGCACAGCTTGAGTGGTTGACAAGTGTGACCTTAACGGACGGCACGCTGTGTCGGCTGACGCGCGATTGGTCGCGCTCTTCCTCTGAGAAGGTGAGCGCAACAGCTGAACACCTTCCTTCGGTCGGCGCTCGGACAGCGCACCCAGGGCATCGCCATTTGCGTTTCTAGTGTTTATCCACCGGCAAATGTGTCTCCGACGACTTTCACGTCGAGTTTTTCTGGAAAAAAAACAGGTGATTTTTGAATTTGGGTTTTACTAGACCTTGCCGAGGGTAAGCCCCAGGCGTGGGGCTTACCTAGTCAAGATCTCGAGTATTAAAGGTTATGTTGCGTTTAAGACCGTGCACCCAGCGGGCTGCATGAATCGTTTAGTACCGACAGCGTGCGGGGCAGCCAAGCTGCCGAACGCTAGATAAAACTGCATCGCTTTGGGACTTGGATAAGTTTTCTTAAGTTTGAAGTGTGACGGTGCGGCTAAGATGCACAGAAGTGGAAAACAGTGCCAGATTAACACTGGCACTGCTGAATCCCGGCCGGAGGTCGAATGCAATCGAGGACTTGTGAGGGAACCTGTGCACTTCGCCGACCTCTGGCGTCCTGGCCCGACGCGGCTTTCCTTTGCTGCAGCGGCCAGCTCCTGAGGGCGACCTATAAGACATCTCCCACTGCACTGATGAAAGAAACGCCGGACGACTGTAACAAGTATTGAGACCTTTATTATTGAACACTAGAAACGGGCATCAGCCCATCACATCAAGCTATGAGTGACGATATAATGGTAGGTAAACAGAGGAGAAAAAAGTTATCAAGACGGGCTTACCATTCAATTGACTTCAAGGGAAATATATATATATATATATATATATATATATATATATATATATATATATACATTGCATTCCATCAAATCTCTCGCTGGTGAAACATCACAGGCCAAACACTCTAAATCACTGTTAACGGGCTACTCGGCTCCCTGCCTAGCATAACAGTAAAACTCGAACCGCGTTTCCGCAGCTAGTGCCCAGACGCCCAGCGGCGTGGCAGAGCCGGGAGCCTGCGCTGGCGTGCGTGTGCCCTCCGCTGGAGGCGCCGGTCGCACGCGGCCCGGGATTACGGCCGGGGAGGGCCGGGCCGCCGGATCGATGTGCGGCGGTGGCGCCGCCCTGGCGGCCGCGCCGGCGGGTGACACTATTGCTGACCGCGCAGCCGGCGAGTGAGCGGGGCCGCACCTGACCGGGCGGCTGATCGACCCCGGTGCGCGCCGGGCCGCGCCGCGCGCGCCAGTGCCGGCGGTGACCAGGTGCGACGGCCCCTCGTGACCGCCACACCTGTCGTCCGCAGCAGCATCGTCTGCAACACGGGGAGGGGGAGGGGGCGTTCACCGAGTGGCGTGCGTCAGGCGCGGCGCGGGCCGGCGCAGAGCTTCAATAAAAGCCACGGATCGCAGCGATATGTCAGTCAGAGCGATTACGCTACGCATCGAATCCATGCAGGAGGCAGTGATGTGGAGCATAGAGAACCTGTTATCCGCATTTGCCTCGCTGGTGTCCATGACCACGGAGCTCCCACGTCAAGGGAAGCGCTTCGGCGTCTGTAATGTTGATTAGATCGTCGTTCCTTTAAAGCGTCGAAGGTCTCCGGGCGACATCGCCACCAATTGGTCGGAGCTGTCGTCGGCGCCGACAGTCGCAGTCTGGAAGGCGCCGGCGGCAGCACTTCAACGGTCTGGCACAATTTGGTCGAGAGGATGCTGTAAATGGAACTCGGGAGAGATTCCAGTGATCCTTTGAAATGTGCCACTACTAAAGAGCTTGATTAACTTGTACAACTGCTCGACACAGTACGAGGACGCATAAGTGAGTGATGTAGGAAAGGTCGCCACTGAGCCTTTTGCTTACGTAAGCATATACATGTATCTATATATGTATATGTATACTTATGTAATGTAAATATACGTAAATAATCTCTCTCTGTCTCTCTCATATCATCATACAAATATCACATTACAAATAAATGCACCATTTCGGACGGGTAAGGGGTCTGGGTAGGAGAGAATTCCACCTGTACGGCCAGGTCTTCCCAAATGTCGTTCTGCTCTGCAGTGCAGCCATAGCAGGGTTGTGCCCACTTACGACGCCCCACTCGGGGAACAGTGATATTATTTATAAATGACTGCAGAGACAGAATATTTTGGCAGGTTGCCTGTTTACTTTCGGGGTGACAAAAAGTGGTAAAAAACTTGCAGTGGGCTCCAGGGGCGTAGTTCCACACAATGAGCTGAAAGGGGAGGCTGAACGAAGAAAAACTGCCGACCTACCCTCAAGATATGCCAACGAACAGGTGTCTTCCCAGCTTTGGCACACTTTCTTCCCAAAGTTTGGGGGCTAGAGCCCAAGTTGGGAGGGGGAGGGGCTGAACTGCCCCCAACTTAGTAGTAAACCATACCCCTGGTAGGTTTACAAGCTCCTTTTTCAGTAACAGCAACATTTGGGAAGGTCTGAGCCTGAGAAATTGGAAAGAGTAAATTTGGGAAGGTGTGATTGAACTGGCAACATTCCCTCTAATTCAGACCCTTCGCCTATCCGAGATAATTTAAATACACATGTTTTTTTCACGGTAGAAAAATGTATATATATATATATATATATATATATATATATATATATATATATATATATACATACAGGGCAGGGTGTACTTTCCCACCTAACGTTAAAACAATCATTGTACACCATTCGCCGTGTTCAAGGCAGGACATATCGTAAATAATCACAAAACAGAGTCACGGTGCACTTTCCTACCTCTTGTTACAAAAGAACATTGTACATCAATCGTCGTTTTTAAGGCAGAACATATCATAATTAATCGTAAAACAGGTCATCTATACTCTTACCTTGGAACTTAACTAATTACGATACCGAACATCCGACCGCAGCAAACACACAGCAGCCGCGACGCCTGCGCCATTACCGCGCGCGGTCACAACATTACTTCGCATCAAGTAGCATCAAGGACCATAAAAATGTACGGGGCCAAGGTAACAAGAATCCATGAAACTTTATCCTGGACGCCAACGGGACGATGGGTTGCAGAGGGATTGGGTGGAGAATGTAAAGCAAAATGGTAGCAAAGTACACCTACACCAATATCCCAGTCACTTTTCGCGTTGCTGCACTTCCTCGCACAAATCGAATGAAGAAAGAAAATGATCGTGGTAAGCAATGTGTGTCCACATTAAAGAAGATAAGATGCACGCCATTTTAGATAGACTGAATGATACCGGCTGTCAGAAAACAAACATCTATATCCCTGTCCGTTTAATTTCCCAGTTCTATGCTGGAATTTTTGGAATTACACAATTTTGGAATTTAACTGGCATCTACAATCCCAGCATAGTATTGGTCATGCTTGAGAAGGTTTGACATAATTGCGTGCATGCAGATTTTAGACAGCAAGCAAAGGAAGAACGCCGCAATGGTGCGTCAAAACGCTCTCTAGCCATCCTCCGAACATTACTCAAATGTTTAAGAATCGACAATGTGTTTCGGACAACTCCAACCATCAAAGAGACGTATTCAACAGTCAACCCACGATATCTTACCGAAGGGAGGCGAGTCTTCGAGGTCAGTTGGCGCACGCAAAATTTTACCTATTTAGTGCCATGCTTTAGTAACGGTCCTTAAAGGCAGTATCCCACCTTTGACGCACATTTCAAAAACATTCTCTAGTGAAACCTCAGGACCAGTTTTGTCTAACAATTGCAATGGGGAGTGCCACTGCGGCAGCGAAAACAAAATGAGGATATCAATTTTGAATGTTTTTTCGAGTTCAAATAACCTTCCTAACGCTTCTAATAACACCTCGCCTTTTCCATGCAGTCGCGACCACGGTCGTCATGGTAACTAGCGTGACACCTCTTCTGGGGCGAATAATTTTTTTTAAAAAAACGTTTGTGATCGACCCAGCGGGCAGCAAGGTAGTACTGAGAGGCACATTGGGGGTCAAGTCTGAATCATTGCGTCATCAAAGACCATGTGAGACCTCCATTCCCAAAGCCAAAGTGCGTCTCGAAAAGAGCCGCTGTGGTGAATGCCTTAGGGGGAACTAAAATCCATAGCATAACGTTTGGTCGAATCCGCTTTATAAGTGCTTTATGCTCGCTTGCCTTGTTGCCTGAAATGAGTGTTTCAAGGTGTCGTAGTATATCTTACACAAAAACTTTGACAAAGCTATGTGTTGCAAACAATGCATAGCACACGCGATGGAGAAAGCAAGGCATATTAAATGTGTTCCCCTCATAGTGGTGAGCGGGGAGTCCAATGACATTTCCCACGAAGGAGCAGATACTTGTAATCGAAAGGCTGAGCTATTCAGAAGGATTTCGAGAAAATTGCTATTGCTGATAAGATTCCACGCGTCCGATCTGATAGCAAGTGAAAAGTACAAAAAGGTGGTATACTCCCCCCCCCCCGTACATGTGTACGTACGGTTGAACGACTACATTTAAAACAAGCAACGTGACATACGGTGTGCTTTGATAAAGTGTGCGAGTGTGTATGTTACGTCCTGGAGACGGTTGCTATTATATAATCGTTCATGGCAAACCACCATCAACCATCAGCACAGAAAAGGCTCCGGTGGCTTATCCAGTACCTGTTCAGCTAACCTCACTGGGCCACACGATCGATCATGCGAGATTTGTTGACTTTTTTGTTTGAGAGAGTATGGGGATCGTATAGATTAAGTCTTGTATAGGCGGCTCGGAGAGAAAATGTGGATTAATATGTTAACAACATTGCACGTTCAGTAGGGTCCAACGTAAACAAACTAAGTTGTGCGTACAGAATGTGTCAAAAAGGGTTATAGATGGGAGTGTCCTACACTCAGTGCACATCTGTCGATTATCATTTTCATCTCATTATACCGTAAACTGTTGACTGCACTCTCAAACTCAAAGAAATCCAATAAAAGGTTACAAATCTCGCTACATTTCGGCAGGCATACTTCCGTACCCTGTTTTTGCACACCTCTGTATTTCTGTTTGTCTTGATTTATGCCATCCTTGTATTGTCATCCTTTCGCCCTGTTTTCGTCATCGGGTCTCCCGTTTATCGCAAGGTACAAATGTTCATTTGCCTTCATTATGTCCTCCTAGTATGGCCATCTAATCGCTCTATTTCTGGCATTAAGTCTCTTATTTTTCGCGAAACCTACGAAATGTATGCGTGAAATGTCTGCGAGGTTACGATGGTCTACGCTGTTGAAATGCGTCGGTGGTAAAAAAGAAATCAATATCTTTCACATGAACTGTCGCCTTAAACGCCCACATAACTTAACTTTCAAAGCTTACCTGAAGAGGGCATGTTCGCTGGAATAAAGTAAACTTTGTGACCTGTTTATTATTGCACCCCGTAGGGTTCGAGACTACAGTCAATTGTGTACGGTATAATGTTGATAAAGACTAACGGTCTCAGAGAGGATCTGGCATCAGTAAATAGAAAATTTTCGCTGCAGAATGTGGTGAATATTTTGAACACATCACATATATATATATATATATATATATATATATATATATATATATATAGCTAAGACAACCCGATCACAACCAGTAGCTATGCATCTGCCGGAGGGGTACCGGGCCAGCATATGCACAAAGCGCACAATCGAAAACAAGGCCTATCAACTGCTACCAAATTATAACGGTTATGACAACCAGTAGTCTGGTGAGATGAAAACAGCCCGACTGCAGCCCAACCCGACTTAAACGCACCAATATAGGCTTTGAGTTCAAAAATCCATGTGGGGGCTGCGGGCGCTGCCGCTCAATCTATATTGGCATTATTAGTATGACTACGAAGTCCCTATCACAATGCGTGGCTACGTAAGTGCGAGAGCGGGGTCAGACCACCGTGTGCGTAAAACTCATAACCAAAAACCTTACACTCTGACTTAATCAAAAACACCGAGATCTTGAAATCGCGTTCAAGTCATAGGAATAGGCCGTAGGAACAGGGGGATGAGCCGCGCTTAGCTTACTTTTGTATGTCCTGAAACGCGCATGCCGAGTTACCCAATAGCCATCTACCTCAATGTTCAATGGAGAACATTGCTTCAATGCTAATGGTATAAGGCAGCATCATTTGCTTCCATGTACAGGGGACGAATAAAGCTATGTTGATATTTTGGGCAAAACTCAGGTACACTCGACAGCCCAAAGCTACCTTCTGACTGTTGAGGGTCTTGGCTCTTCTACCAACTCGCACACGTTGGCTTCATACCGGTTCGTGATGTTTAAGATGGATGCGTCATAGGCGTTTGGCGTAATCTGGCATTTCAGAAAGCAATGCTAGTCATTTCATGCAATGGTCAGTGTCTTATATATCCTTCGCATGCTATCAATATTTCCCCAAGCATTATGCGTATTATTACGCTCGCTGAAAACTTAGATGTAACTAGGACTGGAAGACTAAGTAGAAGAAGTCGTGAATGTTTTCCGCAAGAGCCATTATTATGCTTGTTTCCTAACAGATATAACAGGTATATACAGTTTATGGTTATGTCAAAATATGCTTATGTCAAATGCTATATGCTTATGTCAAAAGCGTCTGGTTTAGTCCTGCGTTTTAGGCAAAAGCTTGATGCTTCATAAAACGCCTGCGTTTCGTGATCATAATCGCATGTATCATTTCCAAGTATTTCGTGAAGCCCAAGAAAACCGTCAGACGTTTCAAGCCAAGTCTGACTCAACTGAGCAAGGCTTCTGTGGTGTGGCCGTTATATGCTTGATATTCGGCTGAAAAAATAGTCAGCGCCTATGCTTCGTGGTGGTCTCGGGCAACAGAGCCGGATCAACTGCACCAATATTGTGGTCTCGGGTCAAAGCACAGGATTAACCGCACCAATATTGTGGTCTCAGGTCAAAGCACAGGACTAACCGCACCAATATTGTGGTCTCGGGTCACAGCACATGATTAACCGCACCAATATTGTGGTCTCGGGTCGCAGGACCGGATGAACTGCACCAATGTTGTGGTCTCGGGTTACAGCACAGGATTAACTGCACCAATATTCGTGTGGCGGCCATGTGGCTCTCAGCCGTTTTAAACGCGCGGTTTGTTCAGTGTTAGTCCTTAGGAGCATGCCAGTACGGTCGAGCATGTACCGGCAGCTGTCACGGCCAACAACAGCCATCAGAAAGCCATTAGTTTGCTAGAGGCATTTTATGAAAAGCTTTCGTTTCAGGGACATGTGCTTCAGCTGGTACATGTGCTTCGTTTGGAGCAGGGGCAAAACAGTGCACATCATACACTACCAGTGTTGCGCGGCGCGTGCACTTCGCTTGACGGAACCTTACGATTCAGCACCCTGTGGCAATAAGTGAACTGAGACAAACGGTGAAGTTTGTTGGCCAGGCATTTACAGCTCATTTGAAGAAGCTCGATGTCTCCATTTTTGTAGTTAAGTTAAGCTGGTATTGAGATGCGGAATATAGCTGTCAAAGAAACATTGTTGCTTCTTTTTATCTTTATATTGTATTTTCACTTTTTGTCTTATCTTTTTAGCTTAGTCCAAACAATTTGTGACTGCTTGAAAGTGCCGTTTCGCCCAGTTCAATAGTTAATAATGCTTGCACCCATCCGGGGAACCTTTTGAGTGCGACGCCGTGGAGACCTTCTTGTCTTCCGCCAACCGTCATCTGCCGGGTCAAACGATCAGCTACCTCTGGGACTTAAACCCGGATGTCTGCCACGCGCTGGTGTCGGGCGTCCGAGCCGCCTGTGCGCGACTGTGGGAGTCAGTGTCAATATAAATGTTAAGTCTTATATACACCTCAATGATGAAGTACCGGCTGAGCGTTCAACGCGTGAAGAGTTGATGGAATCATTTTCATCCGTTGAGACAAAAGCTCAATGAACAGCATGGGTCGTTCAGGTTGAATGTTCCGATATCTAATCCCAACCCTTTTAATGGATGGATTTCTTTGATCAAAGCTCACACTAAGCAGCGCTTGTTGTGTGAGTCCTGGCCCTTAGCATGCGGTAGCATAACTCCAAGTAAACGGCAGAATTTGGTGGAGAAAGCTTAACATGTCGCTTCTGTTTGTGGGACGGTTGGATCATCAAGCTTGTGGATGGACTACCAAGCTTGTGGATGGACTACCAAGCTTGTGGATGGACTACCAAGCTTGTGGATGGACTACCAAGTGACAACTTGTCCTCTCAGTCCTGCTTAATGATGGCACGCGGCAGCATTGCAATGTATAACAAGTTCCGCTATGCTAGTTTTTAAGAGCGGGACAGGTTATTATCAGTACCAGCCATTTTGGTCACGATGTCAAGGTTTACGCACAAACATGGTACATATGAATGCATTACGGTGCATTGCATGCATGCATTGCAACAATGCAATGCATGCATGTAAATATTCGGTGTGTTCTAGCTTTCACGTGCTTAGAAATACTGGACAAGAAACAAAGCTAACGTGATACGCATTTGGTGTGTTGGCATCGTCTTCTTGGTTTTGCCTGTCAACAGCAGGCTAAGAACAAACGAGACAATAGCATTAGCCTTATTCCTCGGAGAAAAACCAGGAGAATGAAGAAATAGTTGGGTTGATATTTCGGCAACATGCCTTTATCGAAACAATAACAGAAGCTTCTGCTATGTTATTGTATTGTATTGTTGCCGAAATATTAACCCAACTATATCTCCATTCTCCTGTTTTTTGTCCGAGGAATAAGACTCACACTGCCGTCTTATCTATGTGAGTAATGCTCCTCGCTAATGCATTGAACAACTTACGTAACTAAGAACAAACTGTTTCATTTACGCTCCACATACATAATGCTACTGAAAGTGTAAATGAATGAAAGCAGACAGCCAGGCCTGCGTGAGCACTGCACCGCGGCAGCGCTCAAGGGCTGGGGACGTCAGGCGGCGCTCCGCTCGTCCGTCTAAGCACGGTCGCGCGGCGCCCCGCTCCCTCGTCTGAGCGCGGCTGCGCAGCGCCCCGCTCCCCGTCTGAGCGCGGCTGCGCAGCGCCCCGCTCCCCGTCTGAGCGCGGCTGCGCAGCGCCCCGCTCCCCGTCTGAGCGCGGCTGCGCAGCGCCCTGCTCCCCGTCTGAGCGCGGCTGCGCAGCGCCCCGCTCCCCGTCTGAGCGCGGCTGCGCGGCGCCCCGCTCCCCGTCTGAGCACGGCCGCGCGGCACCCCGCTCCCCGTCTGAGCACGGCCGCGCGGCACCCCGTTCCCCGTCTGAACGTGGCCGCAGCTGGCAGTGGCGGCGCGCGCACCCTCTGACCTGTGCACTTGACCCGGTCACGTGTGGTGCCGCAGGAAGGACGGGTCGACGGCGGCCACCTTGGCCGTGAGGAAGGCGTGCATGCAGAACAGCAGCGGCTGCAACGCTGTGCACTCGAGCTCCTGTCGCCGCCAGAATCAGAGTCAGAGTCGTCGAACGCCACACCCTGAACGGGCTCATACTGCCATTGTAGTGCACAACGCACATACTCAGGCTCCTGCAGAGGGAAATGACTGTGTCGCAGCTCAAGTACTCTACGGTTTGTAGCGGCAACACATTCGACACGCATGAAATACAAACACACCATGCCTATAATTCGTGGACTGGGTAGTGGTCGTTACTGATCACTCGAGGGAAGCGTCGTTCTTTTCGGCAGTGGACTTACGTCATCCGGTTCAATACTGGGGGGGGGGGGGGGGGGCGCTCAACATCTGCGTACTCATAGGTAGCATCCAATGTGGGCAAAGCGCGAGCTCCGTGTGAAGATTAGGGATGGGGCGAGTCGCCACACTCCGACGGCGCGACGGCAACCGGTCCGCGTCGGACCGCTGGATTGATGGCGAACTGGACTGGGAATAAACGGGGCGTGCAGGAGGATCTCGTATTGTTAGCTTGAGGATTTTAAGAAAAAAAGTGTGGTATTGACTGTTGATCTCAGGTGTGCTGAACTCTGTCAGTGCCAAAACAAGGGTCGTAACATTATCTGACTTGTAGACTGGCCCTTTTGCTTCTTTGTTAATGTTGTTCTCGGAAGGAGGCACACACGATGGCGTACTCATCCACACCCGGGGCACGCTTTCTTTAGTTCAAGAGTCAGCTGGCCTTGCCGCAGGCTGTCACTGGGTGAGGTAAGCCTTGAGTGCCCTATACAGCTCTCCACACACACGGGTGGGGAGGTCGGACAGTTGTAGAGAACGCGGCACTCGTCACCGCGCGCCCTTCTAGGGATTGCCTGTGGTCATGTTAACACTTAGCCAGGGTGAGACCGAAGTCCGGTCCCTCCCCCTCCCAGTCGCAGCCTGTGTGCTCAAACACGAGATCATCGTGTTTCCTGAGAACACAGACATGACCCTGGGAAGGTGTAACATGGAAACATTGGAATTTTTTTCAATGTTGATGAAACAAGCTCACTCATCACTGTTGGTTTTATTTTTAAGTGGAAAAACTGCTTTAGACAGCACAATTTTCTGTTTAGTAAATATGCTCCTCAATGTGTCCGGGTTTAATTATGTTATCGTACCTTGCACAATATTGCTTGAGAGCCAATTGACGGCCGTTATCTCCGGAGATGGCAATCACGAACGGAAGATATGAACGCTTTGACCATTATATTTGTTTGGCCTTGATCGCCGCATCGCTTATGAAATGGCAAGATTTGAATGACGTCGTTTTGACGTCATGAATACCAATGTAATTTTGAAATACTCTCTCCGACACACATTTCTCCATTTTCGCGGGCCAGTAGCTCAGACACTAGCGGGGCTTAGGCCTTAAGAATGACAAGATTGCGAACAGCACCAAAAGATCTTCAAGATGGCTAGTTCAGTTCAAAACCCCATGTAGATGTGGAACGCCCTTTAAAGTAAGTGTTCCACATTTGTATGGGGTTTTCAACTGAAATAGGCATTTTGACGATTATTCGGTACAGTTTACAGCCCTTCCCTTGTCAACAACTAACACCCTCTAGTTTCTGAGCCACACGCCTGTGAAGATGTGCGGACTATTACGTGTAGATTATTTCAAGGTCATTCAGCCATGCATGAGGCCATACCGTCATTCAAAGTCTGCCATCCAGTGGCCATGTGGCGTTCAAGGCCAGGAAGAATAGAGGTGTCGAGTTGTCCATGTCTGGCGTTCATGAGCACGGTTTCCGGATGTAGCGGTCGTCCATTGGCTCTCAGTCAAAGATGTGCAGGCAGTGCAAATTTTAAACTCGAATTGCATTTTGTGCCACATAATGCAAGAAGTTGGACAGGGCTGCTAGTTGTTATGGAAATAAGACTTTTAATCAAAAAAGTAAGAATAGCTCCACAATTCAGTATGTGAATAGAAATAAATATCTTAAACTCACTGACCAACATGCAAGAATACTGCGAGAAGGGGCCAGAACACAAGCACATAACGATATTTGCTTCCGCAAACACGTCTCGTACCACCACTGCACATCTCTCGGCAAGTTAAAGCACTTCACGTGAGTGCTAGAGTGACAGCTTCGCGCGGTCGATTTGGTAGGACCTCTAACGCCATGCAAGCGTTCCAATACGCAATCAAATAACGAACAATATAGAGGGGCATACATATAAATATCGTGGTCTAGAACAGCATTGTCCAGTTATATATGAATACATGAATTGCTAAACGTGAGTTTATTTTAAAATTTCTGACGCTTGGTTTCAATATCTTCAAATTTGGAACATTTCCTTTAATACTCAGGGATACCCTACACTCTCCCAAGGTGGGAGCCCAAAAACAACGTGTGCGAGTGTCAGCGAAATTGGCGCAGCCTGGCGTTGTATGAACCGATACGGCCTCTCAATGGCCACTTATTGTTACGCCCCAAGGACCCCACAAATAGACTAAATGTTCGGTTTTCCCGTCGAGCCGTCTCCTCCTGGCCCGGGAGAGAGAGAGAGAGAGAGAGAGAGAGAGAGAGAGAGAGAGAGAGAGAGAGAGAGAGAGAGAGAGAGAGAGAGAGAGAGAGAGAGAGAGAGAGAGAGAGAGAGAGAGAGAGAGAGAGAGAGAGAGAGAGAGAGAGAGAGAAAGAGAGAGAGAGGAGAGGGAGTATCGCCACTGACAGGTAACCCATCCAGCGTCGTGCCACACACGGCACGCCGCTACTACACCAGCCAGGGGAAGGCAGCCAACGTCGGCTGCGGTGCCAACATCGGCCGCCAACGTCGGCCCGTTAGTGCTCAGCAATGCCAGTAATGTTTGGCAAAATGTGGAGGTGATACTCACGCGGATAATCTGTGTATGCGCGGCGCTTGCTGAATGGCGTCTGTTTCTTCGTATGTAAGGCTGCGACGACACGTTGTTCTTTATTACTTTATGAGCAATTTCTATAGAACATGATAAGATATGGAGATAGATGGAGAGGAATGGAGAGATATGGTAGAGTTCTGTTTGCTGAGTTATGTAGAGTTATGTGTATATTAAGTAGTGTAACTGAGACACCCTTCTGTCGGAGAGTTCCAGGAACCGGCTCAAAGCACGCTTCGATTCTTTGTGTGCTCCCATACAAAAAACAAGCTTCCTGGGATAAACAATGAATGCAACGCATTTTCGTTAACGTTACCTCTGCAGGACGGATTCTGGCGTTGCCGCCTTCCCTGCATGAGCAGGCGGAACGTAAGGTTCACCACCAACAGACATGTTGCATTTGGCGCTGCACAATAGACAGTTTCAAGTGAGTATATTCCATGTGTAAATTAACTGAGCTATCAATACAGACCTCCGGGTCGTCCTTTTTAGCCTGGTTAGAAAAAGGACGTGTCGGAGATGCTGGTCATAGGGAAACACCGGTTTTAACGAAAAACGACGCGGTGGCATGGTGTTATGTTGTGTGCTTTTACTTATGTGTGAGAGCATCACTCAAGTTAATTTAATCGTCAAGCGTGCATTTGTAGCAGTAATTGGGACTTTCGGGCAATTTGAAACTCTCAGGGGTACGAATATGCCGATATATACAACTTTGGCTCCGCAGAAAATTGTCAGGTTCTCAAACTATCTTAATATACTAGATTCACGAAACGCATTCATATACTGTCCTTACTGGGAGCACAGCTATCGATGCGTCTAACCGATTATACGACAAAAACTCCCCCCCCCCCCCCGAGATTCTGGGCTATGTCTGATACAAGTTGGTCGACATTTTTCTTCAGCACCACATATGGCCTTTGGTGTCTCGGTCAACATTTTTCCCGCATCTTTTCACGCTTTATGCGCAACATGGAAACTAGGCAGTTTAAGAGAGGCCCTAAGAACGGGGTGAACGTCGACATCTGTGAGCGTTTTCGTCAAAGGCAATTTGAACGCGACCGGAAAACAGCCACATGGGAGAGCTCAGAGTTCCCCAGGGCATTCCAGATCAGAGGCTTCCTAAATATGCGCTGCATCTTGGACATCGATCCCTGCCTCGTGTCCATTATTATCGGCACGGTCCCTGTCCGTGTGTCCCTCTATTCTGTCGGAAACCCTGGCCATCAGAATATTCTCAGATTGAGCGAAGCATGCGATATTTTCCGCAGCTTTCTTGTTAGCTCACTGAAAGGCGGCCGGCTGATGCCGTACCATCCGCATTGTCTTCTACGCGGGCCTGCGCGCCCGTGATGCGCCCACTCTTGTTTAAAATTGTCCATCGACAACAACTTGGACAGCATGAGCTATTGTGCAGCCAATTTGTTGATTGTTATACTTTATTGCCGACCCGTTAGAGATTTGGAGTGGAATGGCTTGCATAGAAATAACCTTTAACTTTCTGACGTGTTGTGCCAAATAAAAACGTATGCAAAGTTAAAAAGCTATATTTATTATTCTTACCAGTTATCCGAAGAAGCGAGTGTTTCATATGCGATTGCCTAAGTGACGACATGTGTTTTGAGCCAGTTATTCAACTCTTCGAGTGAGAAGCGCCTTTTCGGTCCACCATATTAGGCATGGGGAGCTATGCGATGTGGTGGACGTGGAGCTGTACAGAGTTATAGGCAAATAATGTGAGAACATCGGAATGATGAGCTCAAGGGCATTTGAGCTTATTAATGAAGTAAAGGCAAGCATTTTCTAAACAAAATAAAGCCACATGGATAGGCTTGAGAGCAAATCTTCGTCGTCGTACTAGCTATGGAAATATAAATGTATGAAGTATAAACGATTTACTCCCTCAACAAAACTTTGTTGACAGCAGAATTCGTTGAATTCTTCAGGAGCAGGACCCGTATTATATACGAATTTTGCAGCACGTCGTGTTGTCTCACTTCACAGTGTTGTTGCGAACACGAGGTTGGCGTGCGTTTTTGGGTGGACGAATCGCTGGAAAAACACTTAAGTACCGTGCCTGCCTAAGCAGCAGTAAATCAAAAAGAAAATGGCACACTAGACAAAGTGGTCACAAAGTGGCGTTTTCTTTGGAACGAAAGACCCATCAGTGACATGCACATAACAATGGCATGTTTCGGAGGCGGCGGTCAAGTACATGCAAATTCGGCCAAGCCGAGTCCAAGGGCTGCTCTCCTGTCGGCCGGCGCAGCGGCGCCCAGCCCGCACCTGCGCCTGCTGAGCCAGAAGCGCCAGATGGGAGCACAGCATGGCGGGAGACCAGAGGGGCTCGGATATTTGCGGCACCTGTGTGTGGCACCGGCGGCGGCTCACCCTCGTGTGGAGCTCGGTACCGTCGGCCGAGATGAAATCCAGCCGCAGTCGTGACTTGCCATCGTCCGAGCTGCCCTTCAGCTGGGAGAACTTGTACTTCCAGCAGAACATCTTGGTCTCTGTGTCGTACAGCGCGAAGCCCAACGTCCAATCGAGCGTCAGGCTGGAGTCGTGGCCGTCGCACTTGACTCGAAACGTCTTGCTCTGCGGAGGATGGAACGGACCGAACTCAGCACCCGCTGGTACATCACCCGCTGGGGGATGGGACGGCGTTAGGGACCACAGGTACCTCGCTACGGTGGATGGGACGGCGTCAGAACCCGCAGGTAACTCGTTACGGGGGATGGGACGGCGTCAGAGCCCGTAAGTGACTCGCTACGGGGGATGGGACGGCCTCAATACCCGCAGGTAACCCGCTACGGGGGATGTGATGGCGTCAAGACCCGCAGGCACCTCGCTACGGAGGATGGGACGGCGTCAATACCCGCTGGTAACCCGCTACGGGGGATGTAATGGCGTCAGGACCCGCAGGTAACTCGCTACGGAGGATGTGATGGCGTCAAGACCCGCAGGCACCACGCTACGGAGGATGGGACAGCGTCAATACCCGCTGGTAACCCGCTACGGGGGATGGGACAGCGTTAGGACCCGCTGGTAACTCGCTACGGAGGATGTGATGGCGTCAGGGCCCGCAGGTAACCCGCTACGGAGGATGGGATGGCGTCAATGCCCGCTGGTAACCCGCTACAGAGGATGGGACGGCATCAGGACCCGCTGGTAACCCGCCACGGGGGTGTGATGGCGTCAGGACCCGCAGGTAACTCGCTACGGAGGATGGGATGGCGTCAGGACCCGCAGGTACCTCGCTGCGGAGGATGGGACGGCGTCAATACCCGCTGGTAACCCGCTACAGAGGATGGGACGGCATCAGGACCCGCTGGTAATTCGCTACGGGGAATTGGACGGTGTCAGGACCCGCAGGTAGCCCGCTGCGGAGAATGGGACGGCGTCAGGACCCGCTGGTGTGCCGCTACCGGGGTGGCACAAGTGGCCGCCATTGACAGTAGGATACTCAACCAGCACTTTTCCATTACCAAATAGGCGTGCTTTTTGCAAAAAAAAAACAGATTTTTTATACCATTGTTTTTACAAGTTCATTCATACTCTATATGACTTGTCCCGTCTGCACTAACGCGACGAACCACTGACGGCAGTGCTTACTTATCTGAATGTTGATGATATTGAGCGTAACATATATATATATATATATATATATATATATATATATATATATATATGATATTAAACGTATAATGTATAATTTTCAATGTTGTCTAGATATTCAACATTCGAATGAAACGCTGAGCTTCATATTGCAGAAAATTGTACCACTTAGATCGCTAGTCTGTTAGCTAACATCTGGCAGCACCAATCTCCGATGCCTCAAACATGGTCGAGCATCCCGGCTAATGTCAACCTGCTGGTGCCCACTACCGCGGACATTCACGAACAGACACATTGCAATGTGAGACACTCATATCCAAATACACCCAGATCAGAAGCAACCACTCCCGTGGACACTCTTATAGCCAGCATAGATCGTTGGTGTCTACCAAGTATGAAAGACTTTCTCCGAGACACTTTTCTCACTTTCCACGCCAAAAGATGCCGCCCAGGACGTTAGAATATAGTGAGATATTAGCCTTTTTGTTCAACAAATGGCACTGCACTTTGGGTATCAGGCATTTCCTATTATCAGCTTTAGCCCACACTTACTTTGTATGCTGATGGTGCGTCACAAAATTTGAATCAACATTATTAAAATCATGGTCAGAAGTGCCTGAGGCCGTCTGCCGTAACCAACAGCCACCTAAATAAATTTTCCAGCCAAACGACATCCAGGGTCATTGGAGACTGGTGGCGCTTCCTGAACTTCGCTTTTTGATAGCATCTTGGTACGAAAATTTTAAATCCGCTTCAAAAACTGGTCTTTTTTACAACGAAATCACAATTGTGGTTAGTCATCTCCTGTGAACACCATAAAGTAATCAACATAATTATTGTAACGCCTTCTTTGATTAAGAATTTTAACCTTAACGTTGAAAACCGGCTAATTACCGGTCAAAGAGCTGCTTGCCTTACCAGGTTCTGGAGTCAAAAATTGACAGCATGTTAATGGTCACAATCCCCATCTTAATTGTATTGCTGCCTAGAAAGACATCTAAAGTTGCATGACCTCCTCTAAAACTCAATAGTCGCATTAGCTTTAAAACTGGCCAAGAATTTACTTGCTGGCAGCCGTAATCTCCCATTGTCCAATCCAACGTCGGCAACCTTGAAATATTTCCCTTATTTGTAAAATAAGATCTGTTATGCAGCTGCCGGGAGCTATTCCAAGCCTGACGTCACAGCATCGCAACGTCCCAATGCTACTGGTGCGGATCCAAGGTTGCATGGATGTTGCACCGAATGACACGTAAACGTCAAAACGGGCAAACGCCCTCCCATAAAAGCTTAAGCTATAAAAAGCATAAAAGCTTAAAAAGCACGTGGACAAAACTATGTTTGTACCCGCATAACGTGTCATGTCAATGTGGACATCAAAGTTGTCCAAATACTTTTTGTGTCCAGTCAATATGCGTTCCAACCACGAATTCAATTCACCTTAGCAGCCAATGGTAGATGGAGATACACACTGATGCAGAGCAAATTTTCTTAGGTAGTTTGGACCTACTAACGGAGCACACCTAGTGCTTAGTTCTGCTCTAAGACATCTGACGCTCCGAGCAGTGTGTTTCCGCGCCGTTTTAAGTTCGTTTTTGTTTTCGGCGATATCATTCTAGTATAATGTCCGAGGTCGTTTTTAGCTGACGAGGCATTAATGTTTCGGGTCATAAGTTAACGTAATAACTGAGGAGGCAAATACCACCAGACCAAACTGTATACCATGGGAAAAGCTATGTTTATATGGTATCCAGGACATTAACTTCTCTCCAAAAGCGTTGATGCATAGGAGCGGGAAAGCTCTCTACCTTATCCCCACCCCCTCCGGTCAGGCTGGACTTCGGTCGGGCCAACCGGGCATGCCTCTCAGTGAAACTCTTTTTGAAACATGCATGAGATCTTTGATAGCCGGTCATTTTTTGGAGCAAGCACAGAACAGTTCTGTCTGCCCCCGTGAAGAAAGATCGTGAAGGGGCCAAACTGCCCCTCTCCTTCCGAAAACGTGTGAAGGTCCGCTCAGGCCGATCGAACCAAGTAAGCCATACACTGCGACATGCAACACACACACTGGCCGACGCTCGAGACACTGGCGTTACTCACCCCAAGTCGGGCGACGGCCTGGTGGACGTCCGAGACACTGGCGTTACTCACCCCAAGTCGGGCGACGGCCTGGTGGGCGCCCGAGACACTGGCGTTACTCACCCCGAGTCGGGCGACGGCCTGGTGGACGCAGCGCAGCCAGGCCGACTCGATCCTGAGGAGCTCTTGGCGCGTCTCCACGCTCAGGTAATGGGAAGTACCTGTCGACCACGTGGCACCGTCTCGTGTGAAAGGGGTGAGCAGTCGCTCGACGTTCGGGAACTGGGATGCACCTGTCGATCACGTGGATCGTCACAGCATAGTGCATCGACCACGTGGATCGTCACATCATAGCGGATCGACCGCGTGGATCGTCAGATCATAGCGGATCGACCACGTGGATCGTAACATCGTGGCCGATCGACGACGTGGATCGTCACATCATAGCGGATCGACTACGTGGATCGTCACATCATGGCAGATCGGCCACGTGGGATCGTCACACCACGGCGGTTTGACCATGTGCGACCGTCACGACACAGCAGGGTGATGGCGGTCGCCTCCTTTAGGCTTCGGAGTACGCCTATGAACAACCCAGGCCCTAAACACTGAACGGCTGATACAAGTGACAATGGACTATGTGGCAGCAGTCCGATGTCAAGTGTTGAAGGAGTGTCTGAGTGTATACCGTGACGACGCGTCTCAGGGAGAGTCCATTGTTCCACCAAATGAGGTGATCGGAAAGGACTCAGAGGGACTCCAGCGCAGTGGGTAGATCACCGTTCACGCAGTCAGAAGACATTGGTACTAATCCCAGCAATTTTGAGGAGAAAAGTCGGACAGGTCACTTGGTAGAGAACTGACCGTGCCATCAGAACACACCGGCTCGAATCCCAGTAATTCAGGAAACAAAAAGCGTACTGTGACGCGTACCTGGATGGAAGCCAATAATTATTCAGTCCTTTTCAGGAATCCATTACACCTGACGACGGTCGGAGAGTTAACTGACTGAAACCCTGTGTACGTACTAACACACCAGACGAGTACGACAGTCCAAACAATTATTCCATCCGTGGTACTAATGACTCGTCTCAACCTTCCCGTATAGCGAAAACGCAATCACCATGTTCATGGTGGTGCATCCACGTCAGGCCTAGCCAAATCCACTCATACGACACCGCAATTAGCTCCTTCGCGGGGAGTGAGCTGTCGATGCCAAGGGCTGCTACCGTCCTAAAAAGTACCATATGACGCTTTCAGGGCCACTCCGACCAAAATCAATCTGTGCGGTCGCGAGCCAGACCAATAATTCGGGCGAACGACTCATCCCGGGGCCATAGGCCTCGATGCCAGCTGATTGCTGACCGACTGTATTCCTAGGGGACGGCCGGGTTACGGTTTCACCAGTTCCAGTTCGAGAGCACCAGTTCGCCAGGCACGGAGCTTCTGAGTCACGCTATGGCACTTGTGATATCTGCGAGTTTAGTTGTGTTCAACTTCATGCGCCTTTAAACCGATGGATGCGAAGCACCACCATAATTTATTTATTACATTGCGCATTCATTTCTGGAACCTGCTGTGCACGTTTTGTTGTAGCGATTTATCATGGGTGGTGATTACTGAGCACGCCCAACGACGAGTCGTGACGTCATCCGACTATTCATGACGTCATCAAGCGCAGGTGAGCACGTCGAATAGCTTAATCACTTGTGAACAAGATTTGTGAGGAGAATTTTGAAGTAAAGGAAGGTCAACATCACATTAGGTTGTCTATCCGTTCTATTATGGTTCCCACATGACTACCCAAAAAGCCCTTTTAATTGTGGCTCGGCGGTAGTTCTATCAATCGTTACTGCGCTACTGTATAGAAATCTAACGGATGCCACTTCAGTCCATCGCTCTGATACCCATTTCTAAATTGAGAACACGGGAAATTGTTTACATTCTTCTTAATTACCCTTCACGCATTTCCCTACAACAAAAGAAGGAAATGCTGGTGAAGAGATAGCCTACCTGTTCGCTCATGAGAGACAAAATTGGGATCTCATTCCACTCACTCACTGTGCACACTGTGCGACCGCGCTATTAGCTCTCGCACTGGCGGGGTTTAACCCTCGTACCGCGCTATTAGCTCTCACACTGGCGAGGCTTAACCCTTGCTCTGCGCTACTAGCTCTCACACTGGCGAGGCTTAACCCTCGCACTGTGCTATTGGCCCTCACACTGGCGAGGCTTAACCCTCGCACTGCGCTATTAGCTCTCACACTGGCGAGGCTTCACCCCCGCACTGCGCTACTAGCTCTCATACTGGCGAGGCTTAACCCTCGCACTGCGCCATTGGCTCTCACACTGGCGAGGCTTAACCCTCGCACTGCGCTATTAGCTCTCACACTGGCGAGGCTTAACCCTCGCACTACGCTATTAGCTCTCACACTGGCGGGGTGTAACCCTCGCACTGCGCTATTAGCTTTCACACTGGCGGGGCTTAACCCTCGCATTGCGCTATTAGCTCTCACACTGGCAGGACTTACCCCTCGCACTGCGCTATTAGTTATCACACTGGCGGGGTTTAACCCTCGCACTGCGCTATAAGCTCTCACACTGGCGGGGTTTAACCCTCCCTCCTTTAACCCTCCCTAGTAACTCTCCTACTGGCGGGGCTTGACCCTCCCACTGCGCTATTAAATCTTACACTGGCGGAGTTTAACCCTCGCACTGCGTCATTGGCTCTCACACTGGCGCGGTTTAATCCCCTCATTTGCGCCATTAACCCCGACATTGACTGGGGTTAGCTATCCGACCCCCATGACCTTGTCTGGCGTGGCTCGAGAAGCGCTTGCGCTAGCTTCTGCATTTTGCGGTATCTTCTATTTCACAATTTTCATGTATGCAAGATAATGTCTCTGTCCTGGTCACGTCAGGTCACTGATCCAGGACGGTTTTAGTATAAACCCGTTCGTTCAAAATGTGGACGAACTTTATGTATTCAAGCGATGCGTTTTCAACTGTTTTTTTTTCTGAGGTCTTCATGGTTTGTTTGCGCTATGATTTTACTCTCTGGCCTTTCAATGGCATTTGGTGGCTATCATGGACTACCGAGCCAAAGTGACAGTAAGTTGGTGATATCTACGCCAGCAGTTTTTTTCCTTATTAGCCAATGGTATCGCTCTTCATTTGAGAACGACAGAATGACCTTAAAGTCATCATATATATTTTTCCTAACATGATCAGGAAGTCTGCGTTTTGAAACGTTGCTCATCATTGTCGGCCTTTGTCAGCCCATATGCCTTTTCACTCCAACGTGCCACTTGCTCGCTTCCAAGTGGCAATGATAAGCCAAACACACTACATGGGAATAATGGACATAATTGCCCTTACACGATCTTGGGGATTGATCTATGCTTAGTTGTGATTTGTTTCTGTAACTTTTAGCCTATGCCCCTCCTGAACCAGCGTGACCTCACCTTACCACGCCCAAAGTTTACTTGGTACTTGGTCGCTTGGCTGGCAAAATCGGCATTACAAATTCGATACTTTATCAAATTTGCATAGCCTATCTTTTCCAGATATGGTACTGTGACCTCAGGAAGGTCAACATAGGCCACTGACCTTATCCGAAATAGGAATTGAGGCTTTGCTCACACCGGTTCGGACATTATGGGTGGCTGCTAACATGCAAAGAGAGATATCACTGGTTGGCAGACACTTCTCGTTCGAAGTTAAAATGATAGACCTTAATGGCATACGTTGATCTGTGTCAATCAGCTGGATTAATAAAAACCGGTATATGCATTTCCTCTAAAAGTATGAAATGGGCAAGTCCATGAAGATGTAATCTCAACAGGCATTTTTTGGAGAGAGCCCTATGAAATGGGAAGAAACGCAACTCGTAAAAGTTTGCTGTTTTATCTGTATCGTTCCCGACCAGAAATATCAAGAACATTAAGATCAGCCCGAAGTGCGGCAAATTCACTGGGCGCCTGTGGTGCAATGGTCGTGAACATCTCCAATCAACTCTCCTATGGCGGTCTCTTGCTGCCATGACGCCAGGTCATTGAGGTCTGGACCAGGTCCAGCTTGTGGTGTGCTTTTTTAATGGAGAAGCTTTACAATTCCCATATTAATTGACCTGAGAGCTTAGATTGCTCTCAAATTACTCTGCTACGTAAGGTTCACGTTCAATCAAACAGTTCACATCTAGAACCCAACAATGAACACAGCGCAACTTCTAAGGCATTGTGTGTCTTGCGTTTATTTCTGACAACATGAAACTACGGTGAGCGGTTCTATAGGTGTTAGTTTCCAGCAAACTTCACGGTCGGGCCGGCCCGGTTCGCCCCGCTGACGTTTCCCCACGATTCAAGTAAGACTCGCTGGGCTTGCGGGCTCAAGTGAAAACGTTTTTGATAAGAAAGGTTCCAGTGGATCTATATTAGTTTCCGAGATTTACCCGAAAACGTAAAAATAATTACAAAATGTTCCAGCTGCCTTTTCATGCTCAACCTTGGCAAATCTTTGTGGCTGGTAGGGGTGGGCGGGCGAGACCGCCCCGAAGGGATAAGGAGTTCCATCCCTTATCTCTGATTTCTCGCTCACTCACCAGCAGTGGTTTGGATAAGGAAGCAGTGCTGTTTCTCGTCAACATTCTCCGATTCGCGAATGACCCGGAACATGGTCTGGTACACCGAGTGGACGCCGGGACACTTGAGCCAGTCCTGCTGGTCACGCTGCAAGCAGAGCGGGTTAATCACCACGGCTCGTCCCAGCTCATCCGACAACCCCCCCCCCCCCGCCCCCCTTGCGCCTTCCGTCATCGACGGGACGGGCCAAGTCCATCTCGTTTTAATTATATTTTCATATTGAAGTGACAATTGCTCTCTTGTTACCCAAATGTACTTGCCAATGATTCATGGAATTGGGGAAAGCAGTCAATGTATTCTCTGAGCGCTGCAGCTGGTGCACATCATGCTGCACCGCAGCGCAGATAAGCACGGCGGCACAGCCTACCCCAGCGCGGAGGATACGGTTGCCTCTGAGCTGTAAATAAGTTCGCCCGGTTGGTCTTCGGTCCACTAACCGCGAGTTAGCCCAAAGCCTGACTTAGTATCACTGGTATCACCGACTCGGGCTACGAACTGACAGGTGGTCGCCCTCCCCCCCCCCCCCCCGAGGAGCCCTCGCTGCCGACCGACCTGGACGGCGGGCTCGTCCGTCCGCCCGACGCGCCCGTTGCACACCCACCGGCGGCTTGTCGAAGATGTAGAGCTCGGAGCCCCGCAGCGCCAGGAAACGGACGGCCCACTCCTGGCCCGTCTGGCTGGGGCTCAGGTAGCCCTCGCAAACCCAGCCCATGAAGGTGATGTGCTCGGCCGCCGGCAGGTCTCGGTTGTACAGCTTCATCTGCGAGTGGCACGGCCGGGCGCGTGTCGGACGACAGGGGTCGGAGCTGAATCAGGGAAGATCGGTGGGCTGACAAGGGTCCGCTCAAATCGGACATTCGCTTACTTTTGACAGGCTTCAGCGTTATCCCAGTAGCGGGTGTCTGCCTTTCAGCTCCAAACGTATGGCAGCAACGACCAATGCACATTATTCATTGCATTGCTTGAACTATTCACCATGTAGCTGAACTCCTAGTCAATAAAACAACTCTGCCCACGGCTTAGCGCCTTTTGGATAATACTTATGTTCGAGATTATTTATCGGTAGTCCAACCCCCCAGAGGTCTCCGACAAACATCAGTTCAGTAACATCGTGACGAACAGTTCCATACCATTATCATCATTACTATATCATTGACATTTGCATGCCAGTTCCATATCATTATGACCAACAACAGCTCTCATTATCCTATGTCTTAAGGCAGATGTAGGGTCGTGGATGTGTATTGTTTTGTGAAGGCCTTCCTCCTTCACTGTGGACTACGTTAAAAATAGCTTAGGCAGCCCAATCATGCCTCATTTCTTTGTTACCTAAACGGAACAATATGCTATGGACTGAGAAACCGATAATAGGAAAGAGAGAGAGAGAGAGAGAGAGAGAGAGAGAGAGAGAGAGAGAGAGAGAGAGAGAGAGAGAGAGAGAGAGAGAGCGAGAGAGAGAGAGAGCGAGAGAGAGAGAGAGAGAGAGAGAGAGAGAGAGAGAGAGAGAGAGAGAGAGAGAGAGAGAGAGAGAGAGAGAGAGAGAGAGAGAGAGAGAGAGAGAGAGAGAGAGAGAGAGAGAGAGAGAGAGAGTGAGTACAGACTTGGTCGCCACCAGAAAATGACCACCCATGAAGTTGTGGACATCCAGGGCAAAATTGCCGTCACTGGTGATAACAATAGTTTGGTATTTACACTGGGGAGTAAGTTAGCTGCTGTGCTCTTCCTGTGGACTTTCCCCTGGCCCTCTTGTTGGAATGTTTGCATGCAGTTTCCAATGAAGCCTTTCTTCATGCGAGTAGGCATCTTTTATTGAGCTGTTTTTGGTTAACGTTCTGAAATTTAGCGATTGCTTCTTAAAGAGCTACTTGGATGAAGCCTTAAAATTTAACACAGAAGCAAGCACAGGGAATTTTTGGAAGGCACATCAGAGCTAGACACGGGACACGGGATCGGTAAGGCGAAAGCGCCGTCCACGGTTCTTCGAGCATTCTAGACCCGCATCGAGACTGGTCAGACTTCAGCGATGTAAGGTGCATATGAGTCACCAGGGGCGGATCCAGGAACAATAAGGGGAGGAGTTTGAGTACTCACTTGCTATGGAAAACAACTTGTAGAAGCACTATAAGCTTAGTAGCATATTCACTTACGCAAGTAACATGTATGACATACACAAATAGAAACTTACACGTTGCAAAGGCAACAATGGGGGTTGGATTGAGAACCTGCGAAGGGAATCGATTGAGTTTAACCCAGAGAGATCAGATCAGATAGATCAATAGTTTAGCTTAGCAATTCGCGGCGTCCGTGACAACCTGTGGTAGATAGAATTTACATCGACGGTGATAATACTTGAAGGGTGAATATGGGCACAAACAAGGGTGGTGCCAAGCAGCATGGATAGGAGGCAAGTATTTCATGTGCACTTTTTCTGGGACTTCCACTGTTCATGCCATGGCGTTCTGTCCATATTTCAACATTATGTTGCATATATCCAACAAAATGGCGCAGGGTGGACGGATCTGGGTAACACAAATAGGGTCCGTGTGCATCCTAATTTGGTAACTGGAATTGGTACACCAGCACAAAATGTTGCAGCAGGATGCCTCGAGAAGTACTTCAATTTTGCATCATTCTTATATTTATTACTGGCAAAGGTAGCTGGCTGATGAGATATTAAAAACCACCCGGTATTTCATAAAAGCTATTAGTTGTCCTAGGTTTCTTAATATTGAAATGACAAAACTAAACAGCTATAATACTGCCTCCTTCTGAGCATACCTCAGGACGCCATTGACATTTTAAAACCGGTGACTTTGACAAATGCTGCTTTCTGATAACGTTCGAAACTTTAAGCTATCCCTCGGCAAAGAAAGCTGGGCTTATTGGCAGGTCTTATTCAGAAAACACTTGCTTCCTTTTAGCTACATACCCCTCATCCATCATTGCCTCAAAACAGCTTACTGCACATCATATCTCGCTAAACACGCGCCATTACAAAACATGTGTTGTCCAACTTTCCGCCTCCTGAGTGCGATCATGGCCAGTTTTTGTTGCAGTGTTGTTAACGTTGGAAAGGGAGTGAGTACTGATGCAGCATGTTCAGATGTAAAACAGCCGGGAGATCAATTTTGTCTCAAGAGGCCAGTTTTTTGTAACATGGTGACGTGATCTAGAATGACCGAACCTTGACCTGATCAGGGTGACCTGAGCCCCCAGTTTTCCGTGCGATGCATTTTGGACATTTCTTGGAAGTGTGCGAAATATATGGCGCTTGGCTCCACTTGCTCGGCGTTATAGCAAAGCATAAAAACGATGGGGCGTCAAGCGTCCATCACTGCCGTAAATGACGCAAGCACATAGGTATGAAGTGTCTCCTCCAAATGTGGCCAACGGTCTTTCATTGGAAAATAGCCTGTGCAGATAGGCTACAGACGTCGCGCTGCTATTGAAGAGCTATTTTGTGGATGTGTCAAGACCCCCATAACCACCTTGAACTGCCATCAGCTGCTAATAACCACTTTCTACTAATTGCCACCAGGTACTAAGTATCACTAACTTTTAACTACCACCAGCTACCACCTACCATTAACTTCTGTCTACCACTTACTATAGCTACCACTGAACTAAATTGCTAACTATCTTAAACTGCTTCCTACCGCTAAGTACTAACTACCATGAACTAACAACTACCGCTAATTACTGCCCTCAAGTAGCCCCTAACTAGCACTAACTTCTAACTACCGCTAACGGCTAACTACTCGAGTGGCCACATCGGTACGCCGCGCCGCGCGAGCCCGGCCGGCCGACCGCGGCGTTCCCTCACCTGTAGGTTGGTGAGGCCCAGGATGTTGTTGGTCACGTGTTTGGTCCACTGAGAGAGCTGCAAGCAGGTCGTCGCAGTGGATCACACCCGAGCTGAGGCCGTCCATGCTGCGCACCTCGAACGCGTTCTGTCGCAGCTTGTCGGTGCCGGGCACGTAGCGTGTGATGTAGGCCATCAGCAGCGGGACTGGAACGGCACCCAGCGCCGGTCACGTGCGCCGCCAGCTCACGCCGTCACCATCAGCAGCAGGACTGGAACGGGTTTGGGTGGGTTAGGATGGGTTCTGACGGGTTTGGGTGGGCTCTGATGGGTTTGGGTGGGCTCTGATGGGTTTGGATGGGTTTTGACTGGTTTGGGTGGGTTACGATGGACTCAGATGGGCTTGGTCGGATTCAGGAGTGTTCAGTTGCGCCTAGTTACCGGAACGCGGAATATCACGGAAGAGTTGAGGAGGGAAACAGGTGATGGGGCATAAGGCCAACGTTAAATATTGTTCATGGTTGATGTGACGCACTCACATTTATCAACCACCCCGGCGCCTTCGGTTTTCCACGCCCTTGCTTGGTGGTGTTAACTTAGTCTGGGCTAGGTTCAGTTATTATCACATATGAAATCATTGTTCGAACTATCCTCCCTATCCGGTATGTTGGTATGCACAGAACGTTTCGGCCGGTTACTTCCCCAGCCATCATCAGGCGTCATCGTGTTCTGAAAAAATGCCTTGTATTTGACTTCTAATGACGTACGCGACGCGGTCCGATTTTTTCCCCTTGGTTTTCATAGGATTCGCACCAGGATTTTCTGATAACCAGTCCAGCGCTGTACCTACGGAACAGGCCAGGCAGGATAATACTGCAGTTTTTGGGCTTTTAATTGAGTTGCAATTTTTTTACTTCCTATACGAGATCCTGCAATGCCGACTGCCGCGATCCTTTTTCACGGAAACATGTTCTATGTAGCCAGGAGATCTCAACTAGCTTAGTTGCTTCTTGTGCAACTTTGAGTATTTCACATAATTCGGCTGCCGCCGTCTTGAAGACTGCTCCAGTTTCAAGGTTTTTTCTCGATGACTTGGAAG